TTAATTTTATTTAAATTGTCAAAAATAGACAAAAATTTTAATTTCTTAAAATTTAAAATTGAGTATGCAGATTTATTAACCTAATAAAAAGTAACATAGGACAGCTTTCCGAATTGAAATGAATGCTTTTTTGACTTAGTTTTAGGTTTTTTAGACTTTGATTTGTCGAAAAAAATATTTATAAAAACGATTTATATGCGAGTAATTTAAGTTTGGTTATATCAATTTTCGAGGCGATTCTATAATTCAAGAGCAGAGAATATAAACCTTTGCTTTTCGAAGTCTGTTTTCTTTCTGGTTTAACCTTAAATCTCGTTTGCAACTTACCAAAAGAGATGTTAAAGAGTTTTAAGAAATGTTCTTTAAAGCTTAAGTATCTCTTTGTTTCCCTATAATTTAATCTACATATCTATATAGTCTTTTAGCTTCTTTTTAACCACTTAAACTCTTATTTTCAATCGAAAATAACCCAACATAAACACATTAAAACATCGATTGTATTCCCATTTGCCAGGACTATCTCTTAAAGGACATCTCGCTTATCTACGGCATTTTGTAGCTCATTTAGTACACATCCTGCAGTGCTTATCCAACTATGCAAATGGTCGTATATATCACACATCATTCCCCAGGAACCATCCCCTCCGTTGTGTGTCAGTCACAGTCATAAAGCCAATGGTTCCAGCAAATAAACCGCCTCTTGAGTAATATTTAAAATTTACATAAAACTGGCACGCTCTATAAATGGAGCAAAAAATGTAATAACACAAAAAAGGCGAAAGTAGAAAGTAGAAAACATCAACGTTTGATAAGCAGCCACCGGCCAAAGGGAGGAACCATTGGAACGAAGGAGGAGGAGGGTTCTATTTGCACTGCGTTAATGACAGCTCAGTTGCCAGTTTTAAAAGCCAGTCCCAATTGCTCATGTGTCTGGGTTGGAGCTCTCCCCTCCTGTGTGTGTGGTGTGCGATGATTTGGTCGAGTGTAAAACACATAGCCCTGAGCTTTCACAGCGGCCATTTTGTTTTGTGCCGTGGTTCATAAATTTCAGCTCCGGCTTTGCAGTTGAAATTTATGGCTGGGCTTTTTCGGGGGGCTCTGGGTCTAATCAGGACTACGGTGCGTATACGTAATGCGGGAGTGTAGGCAGCCGGAAGAGCCGCCATCTGCTCTCGTTGTCTCCGGTCATCAGGAGAGCCTTCTGCCCCCCACAGCCTACGCTGGATGCTGTAGCTTTTGTTGCCCGCTTTTTGTTGCTTGTTGGCCTAATGCAATTCTGTGGCTGGAAAAGGGGAGTGAAAAACAAGCGTAATTCAATTTCAGGCCATGCTGCAGCCGGCAGGCACCTACATCCTGCTGGCTGCTTGGCAGCATCCTTTGGCAGCCACGTAGTCGACCACCGATTCAATTTTCGGCTTCCGCTGCGAGGCGACGCGCTAACGTGGCCAATTAATACTGTCAACAACAGCAGGCTCTAACGGTCGGACCGTCAGTTTAGGGGAACGGCTCGTGGCCATGGTTGGTTTTTGGTGCCTCGTTTTTCTCGCTTTTCTACGCCGCACAATTTGCAAATTAAATAGCACACCAGAGCCCAGAGTGGTGACATTTCAACTCTTTCGGGGCTGCTGCGCGAATCTAATCCAATTTTGGGCCTTTTTTTGGGAACGGAAAATATAACTTTTAATGAGCATACCTTGTGATTTGGCGGCGATTGTAATCAAGTTTCCTCCTTGCCACTTTTCCCCCTCTCTCGCGGCTTTTCAATAAACAAAATTACTCAACTTTACTGCTAATGACATTATCCAATGTTGTTTGCCTTCGCAGCTACCGAAAATTTCCCCGATAACGCAATCCTTTAAGTGAAAATTCACACATTCCTGGGGCTTGCTGTACGTGACAGGCGAGAACCTTTTACTAAAACGACAAACTTGTACGATTTTCGTGCCCAGCGACCTTCTTAAAAGGTTTTCCCCAACTTTATCTAGAAATGGCTGTCAAAGATGTGGCCCGGAGCGAAATTAAAGACTTTGCCGTTGAGCTTTTACACAAAAGTGTATACAGAAAGTGAACTAAAACGTTAAAAAGCTTGTTATTTGGTATTAAAAGTGTTAGTTAAATGCTTTACAATGTTCTTATAGCACTTATTTTATCTCGGTGTGTGCGCTTATTTTAAAACTATTTCCAGCGGCAGCATTTCTGTAGAATTAATTACTGTTGATGAACAAAGTTTCCTTGCAATATTATCGACTTGGTCCTGATGGAGATATACTAGGTATTTATCCACTTGTTGGTTTGAGAGTCGAGTTCGCATACCAGAGTCAAAGCATTTCTTAATTAAATGCAGACCTCGGTTCGGTGTGGGTGTCCTTTGCATTAGATCAGGGCCAAAACGCCCATGCAGCCATATTGCATCTTTCATTAAATCGGCGCTGTGTTAGTGCCTTCATTCATTCATTACGATTCATTCCAACGATTCTCTCGCAAGGTTGTGCTGTATGTGTTTCTGTGAATTGTGCAGGTTGTCCGTTAATTGAAAATAGCAAACGGCTTGGTCCTGCCGCTGGCCTGTTCTTCAAACTGTTTTCTTTGTAATGGAGTAATGAAATATGCCAACTCACACAGAGCCACGGGCCAACAATGTCAATACCAACACAGCTTCGCCTTTATACCAATTAAGCTAATGCCCCAGAGTGAGATTGAGAATGAGCGACAGATTGCTGCGGAGAGTGTGCTAAAGGTCAGTGTGTTTGCTGCATGATGGCGCAGTCCTTGGATGCTCCATCGTCCGGATTGCGCCAATTCGGATTACGGGGCGTATGAGTAATATTCGTCACCCCTGAAACTGCCTTTGCCAAGTCGATTATTTTTCTTTAGCAAACTATTTTCCTTTCATTTGTATTTGTTTTTATGGAGAAATCTCAATTGACTTTGATTTCTATTAAAATGTTCTTTGAAAATCTATCAAATTATAAGGGAGATTGTGTGTAAACCATATTCCTGCTAAATTTATAACTATGACTTTCTATCTATTATTCCATTAAATCCATTAGTTTATTTTCTTAAATGATTATTATTATATTGCTCTAAATGTGTCTTTTTTTCCTTATTTTAAACTTTTTACACATTTTCAACAATTAGAAAAGAAATTGTCTTGACAAAAAGTGTTGCCTACTTATTTGGGACTTCTTCGCAGTACCATTTCTTTCTTTTCTGATTCATACTAAAAACTTTCTTTACTGAAACTGAATCACAATTGAACTTTTGACCTCTTTATTTATAGTTTTAAAACACTCCACGGTTTAATTACTCAACCTGGTAGCTATACATAGAGGTATCAAAGAATTACTCAAACCCTTTTACTTGATAATTTTATATGTATTTAAAATTCTTGTTTGCACACACATTTCCCTTGTGCACTTTTCGTGCTGTGGCAATAATCCATATGGACGCATCAACAACAACCTTGTTCCAGTTGAAGGATCTGCCTGTTTGCACCATATTTATCAGGCGCAATAAACCATATTATTATCTCATCACTCCCAGGCGTAACCTCGTCAAAACTACAACGTTGCTGCCATATGCTCGTTCGCCTCTATTGGCTCTGTCCCGGAGAATAACAACAACTTTGGGCTTGCACCGAGTGCTATATCACACAACATGGCGTATACTTAATTAGCGCTATAATGAATGCGCGCTACATTATGTAAAAAAGGACGCAGCTCGGAAACTGGCGAAGGATGTGCACGCTAGCTCTCCTTGCTGTGGCTGACAATTTGCCATAAAGAAGCACATTGGTGGCGGCGGAGGGAAAATTGCCGAGCTTCGCTTAATTGAATAAAATTTGCAGTTGCCGCCGCGGCATCGGTTGGCATAAATTACGCATGGTTGGGTCAGGCGTCGGGACACCACTCCTCCCAGGATTGTAGCTTCATTACCAACACTGTTGGCCTTGCCGCTGGCATGCATTTTCCCTGCATTACGTATACGCAATGTAAACCGCCAGCTTAGACTTTTATCTTGGCTTTGCCCTTTTCCAAGTTGTACAAGTAAAAAAACCAGCACCAATGTTGTTTTGCGTTGTTACAAATGCCTGTATCACAGGACCACAGGGCGGAGGAGGAGCGGCGCGAATCGTATGGCATTTGTACTGGGTCAAGGTCAGGGCGCGAGCGATTTGCATTATATTTCGATTGGAAAGTTCTGTTGTTGTCCTCGTATTGTCTGTGTATTCCAAGCTCACCTGCAATTCAATTCAATTCAATTCGATTTGTATTGTTTATCAATGGCTGCTGTCTGGTTGTCCTTGCCGGTAAATCGCTACATAAATATCAACCAAAACACACACACACACACACACACAAAGAATTCCCCCGTTGAGTTGATTTATGTTAAGAAATTGTTTTTCTTTCGCCCAGCTTGAGATTTACGAGAGAATATATGTATATAAAATCATATAATGTATATGTGCGTATGAATGGCCCATTGGGTCCGCTTGGCGCGTGAACTTTGGTCTTTTATTTCGCTTTCATGTTGCCCCCCTAATCATATCCCTTGGCTTAATTAGAGGGTCAGGTCAGGAAGCACTTTGGGGTCGACTGGGCGTTTCTCTTTTAGACCCCAAACACGAAATTGTCTAATTAATTTGCCTAACACATTCAAAATCGCTGGCGATATACATCTTCATTAACTTTTGAAAACTTTTCACTCTTTTTTTCCAGGTAATTATACCAACGAGATGTGAACAAAAAACGGAAAGTGGAAAGGTGTATCAAGACGAAAGGAAGGAAATTAAATTAATTTATTAGTGTTTTTGCAAAGCAGACCAAAGCGGGTAACTGAGAAAAGTAACCTTAAGACCTTAAATGCTGTGTGGGATGTGATCTAGATTTTGTTTATTTTACCTTAAACTTATTAGTTTACTTTTTGATATATATATTTCCTTTTATATCGTTTATTATTTATTATTTTCTATACTTATTATTTTTATTTATTTTTTATAGTCTTCCCAAATCCACATCCATGGTTGATTCATTTGTCACAGAAGCCACGTAAGTTCCCATTTATATTTTTGTATTTTTTCCACTACTTTTACGTTTATACTTTTGTAATTATACCTAATTAGTGGCCATTATCCAGCTCCTTGGGCGCAGCAGCCAGCAATCAAAACTATTTTTCCGAAAACAGTGAGAGCAAAAGTTTAGCTTGCCAGAGTCGTAAAATCATTAACACAAAAACTTTTCCTGCCAGCTCAGCCACCAGAGTGGTTGGTTTACAGAAAACTATAGTGGGGGTATAGCAAAAAAATAAAACTAGCGAAAGCCTCGACATAATCGTCGGGGTAAGAGTCTAACTGGGCCACTTTAATTGCACCAAAAAGTGGTAAACCACCAAGTGGCGAGTCCTCACATGCGAGTGACACTCGCAAATCCCCCTGGAGGGGCACTACCTACCAAATCGCCGTGGGAAACTAGAGCCGCCAGTGTAATGGCTCGCCCACGTGTTGAGCATTAAGCGAAGCATTGTGCTGCCTTTGGCCTTCCTTTGATATTCATTTCAAGTTAATTCATCTCAATCAGCTTAAATATCAAGCTAAATAATTCATTTGCATTTTAAGGGGCGTGCCCCCGGTGCGTATAATTAATGCGCATAAAATTCCCAGCACTTTGCACCTTTTTTGCACCAGTTTATTTCCGCCGAGCGCCCTTGAGGCCGCCTCCGGGACACTGTTCGGCTCCTGATTGAGCGCCAATGCCGTGGGAGGTGGAAGTTGGGAGCCAGGTGATGGGAAATGTGAGCTATATCCCCATGGCAACAATTGTCCCGAAACCTTTCACCTCGGGACGTTTATTATTTCGTAAGGGGACCGACCAGTGTTGTGTCACATTCGAGGGATGGTCAGCCAAGGGCTATAAATAAATGTGTGTATAAGCCGAAATTGTTGCATGAAGCCGGTAATCAGGAACGGGCGCCAAAAGGGATGTCCTTTGCCAGAGGAAGGACAATTGTTTGACAGCCTTCTATTTATATAACATTCTCAATCAGATCGGTTTTATTATTGAGCAAAGGCCAGGCATAGTTATTTAAAAGGATGAAAGAAAAGGAAATGAAAGGATAAAGAGATAGCTTTGAAATGTAAAAAGGGTTTTTTTAGGAAAAGTGTAAAGGATACAGAGATAATATGATTATCAAATTTCATATTTATTTGAGAGCTTTACTGTGATGTACGTCACTGCACTTCTAGCTGTGGCTTTTTGTGGTCCATTGTTGCTTGGCATTGGTAGTCATGTGTCCTAGGATGGAATTCCAAATGTCCAGTCATTGTATTTGTATTTTTCCACCTGTCAATACAAGTGGTATACAGAGTAAAATTTCCCTCAAAAATCTGCCTTTTGGCTTATCACAAATTGAACAAAAAGGGAATTCCTGTATAGCTTTCAAATATTTCCAACCACAACCCACTTCCTCTGTCTTCTGCCTTTGTTTGAAGCATCCAAATGGAAGCCAGAGTGAGAGAGACCACAATTGGCATACACCGCAGGTGTGCGTGTCTCCGGCAAATGTGAAATATCTTTACAACAGAGAAACCAAATGTGAAATGGGCTTCCACCTGTCACTTGCATGCCGAGCTGTATTGTTATTTCCGTTTCCTATTTTTAGACTATGCCTTCGTCAGCATTTAGCCTAATTAACCTTGTTCATCTTCATTATGTTCGTCTAAAGAGTATCGTATCCTGTTCATCTCTAAAAGGTTTAAAGTGTTGAAACTCACACCTACTTTGAGTTACCTACTCGTAATATTTTTATGGCCAGCTCCTTTTGATGATTACGCTCCTTTGTCGCATTTCGGAGCTTATCGCGTAGTCCTTTTAAATGGATATGGCTTAGGTGCTCGTTTCCTTTAATGTCACAGCCACAATCGTTGCCGTTAGGCAATCATATTAAGTGGCATAATGGCTTAGACGAGGCGCTTAATTATACAAGTATGATTATGTCCAACGAATGGCACCAACTATTCGAGTTTATGGAGGCGTGCAAATACCAACTGCGAGTCCTGTAATTATCCTGCTTGAAACATGAAAGGCGGCCAAAGGGGCAAAGCCAAAGTTAAATAATTCCTGAACCGAGTCAGACTTTATAATCAGTTCAAAGTTGTTTTATTTTCGTAGCTTGCCAATCTGGTGGTGGTGTCCAAAGGCTCACCTTTTTCGTTGATCGGACTAATTCCTGGTGCCCAGATTCAATCTCTGCTGGCCAGTTTGTTCATCAATTCTCGTCTTGAATAATTTAGGCTCGGCTTTTTGCCTGCTTCTCTCCTCCATCTGCGTCCGTTTGACCATTAATATTTGATGATGTACTTCCCGGAAAATATTTATGTTTGTGCAACTCGCTTTAATTGAAAATAAAATCAAATGGAAAAAACGCATAAAGTAAATAAACATGAGCAACATTTTCAAAATGAAAATCTGTTGAGGAAGAAAAGTCAAATGTCATATAAATATGACGAGCATTTCGATGGATGGATGATTCACATTTATGCAGGCGTTTAATATGCTGAGTTCATCTTTTATTAATAGCTACACATGGTCATGCTTATGTGTGGTCCTCCTCTCCTATCCAGGCTCCTTCCTTCCACGTTTGGTTCCCCTCCCGCCGCCGCCTGTGGCTTTTCCGCAGTCTCGCTTTTCCGGGCAGGGCTTATCCGCCTTCTGTTTACGTTTACCTGCCTGCTGGTAATTTGTCAAATGTGGATTTTTCTTGGCGTTACTTTGCTGGCTGTTGCGCCTCTGACAGAGTGCGGCATTTGCTAAATACCGAGGGCAGCTCTAACAGTATTCCAAAAGGAAATCAGTTTAAAGAACTTCTATATACAGATTCTTACAAGATATTTTACTTAAGAGAAAACATATAATATGATCAGCAAAAGCTAAACTTAAATCTTTAATACAACATTAAAGACTGTTTGATATTTCTCCAAAGTGTAAGGTACTCTCGTATCTGCCCACCAAATAAGCCTGTCTTGTTGTGCGTAGGTGTTGGGGGTTACTGATGAAAATGATGATGGCGGAGATTCTTTGGCAGCCACTGAGGAGAATGGGATGGAAAAAGGGAAGCTCAGCAGGTGCCTTTTGCTGGGGTATCATTTATTTTTGCTTTATACACGCATTTAGCTTTATTTCGCTGCTGCCTTCATTGCTGGGGAAAATGTAATAAATTTCCTATAAGCATTATCTTTAAATACAGGGCCATTGTGTGACGAGGGAGTGGAGTTGGGGGGAAAACAGCCGGAAAACGGAAGAGGGGCTCAGCATGACAACGAATGGTGTTGCCAGGGCCCTTAGTTATTGGCTGTTAGTTGCGTGTCTCGTTCCGATTTAGACCCTTTGAAACTGGAGAAATCTCTTGCTCTCTCCCGTTCTGGAAAATCTCAATCCAATTACAAACGAGGGAACGGGAGTTGCGACACCAGTGCTACATGGTACTCCAATTATCTGCTGGTGCAACGATTAAAATGGTCGTAGCAATGCCAGGAGGAAGCCGTAAAAAACACTGCGCGGGTGGCACAAAAGGAGCAACTGCAACAGTTGACGCCATTCTAAGCTGACAGTGCAATTTTCGCATCAGCGAACTGGGATCCGACGGGGTGGTGATGTGGTTCCTCCTCCTCCTCCTCTAGAGACTGGGGGGTTTCTGATGCCAGGCCATGTCAAATGCAGCCAAACACCCGAAATCCCTTGTCACCCTTTTGCCACATTTACACTTCTCCATTTGGCAGTGGCAATTGCGCATCTCCCCCGCATCTCTCCGTTGGATGCTTCTCCTCCTATCCCTGGCGCCGGAATGAAGCCCACTTCTTGCAGCTCGTTTTCCCGGGCAGACTGCAATTTACATAAGTGCCATGTGCGTGGATCGTTGTTTTGTCATTCACTTTTTCGAATGACTATGACAATTTTGCAATAAAAATGCTGTAGCAAGAAATAGTCTGGAAAATTCTGCATGAAAAATGTATAACAATTTGTGAAGAATCCTATTGAAAAGTTAAATTTACCATTTCCATTTGAGATGAAAGAGTAACCATTGAACAATTAAATAATCTGATTTGTTTGCTTCTCAACTGCTTAGTAAATCCCATTTAATCTTTTTGTTTTCAAGCGGAATGGGAAATCATTTCCATCGATTCCTGGTGCCACCGGGAAGGCAATTAATTATTTTCCACTGGCCTTGTTTATGATGAAGATGTCTGGAGAATTGAGGTCACCCTGCTGCTGCTTCATGGGGGAAAAATCTTTACCTTACACTTTTCTCTCTGCATTTCTGTACTGCTGCGGCATGTCGTATTTCTCGTTCTATGCGTTTGCCGCAGCAGCATTGGCCCCAAACTTTTATAATTAAAACTTTTCGCTGGAAAAAATCCAGCGAGAAGACAAAAAAAAAAGTATTGCCAGTGCCACAGAAAGTCGATATGAATTTTTGAGCCAAAAATATGCGTGTCAAATAATGGCAGCCATATGAAAAATGTGTGATCTTTATTAAGGAATTCCCAGAGTCAGAGAGAGAGTGAACTTTAATCATATCCCTCATTCCTCGAGAGAGTGATGGCCAACCACTTATCGGCTGGCTTCTAGCTAAGTTATGCAATGTCCAAATGGGAATCCTTGGAGCCATAAATAAGAACGGAAAACTGTTGCCGCTGCGTAAAAGCCAACCTCTCCTCCACCATCCTGTCCTCTTGTCCTCCAATGACGAGGACATAAATCACGAAGGGCTGGGGCCCAGCTTCCCTTGCTAATGATAAGCTCCACGGACATGGCGATAGTCGTCGTCCCACTGATACGTAATAACTTTTCCTTTATGCCCCATCGAGTTTTCGCCCTAATTGGGCCGGCTGGCCAACATGACGTATGCTGCTATATGTACATATTATGTTTCCCCCGCCGACATATGCTTCTTTAATCTGCTGACCCAGTTGGGTAAATTTAATTTGCCACCACAATTAAGTGCAGTCCGGGGGTAATTTAAAAAAAAACCCACAAATTTAATGGGTTTCGTTGCAGTTTTATTCGATTTACGGCTGCGATTTTATTCCGCATCGTTGGGACCTCGCACGCGGGGCACGTGACGTATACGCAATACTGGCCTTGCCCTGTCATAATGAAGCATAATGCATATGGATCCATAGATATATGTATGTATGTGCATATATAAGTGGAGCAGCAGCATTACCCGAGTCGCATAGCGATTGAAATCCTTTGCCTTGTCATTGTGAGTTTTATTCCGCTCGCCCTTCTACTGTGTGCGTGCCCTGTATGCACCATAATCAACATCATCATCGTCATCATCATCGTCATCTATGTGCCAGGCTGAGTGGGGGGCGTGTCCTTCTTTTCATTCCACATCATACGTCCCTTTTGCCTCTGGTGCCGCCGCCGCAGGACGAGCATTCAATATTGCAATATGTGCATGGAATATCTGAGCGAGCGAAAAGCACACCAAACAAAAAGAAAGGAGCAGACCGTAAGAGGATGAGTCTCCAATCGATTGTTGTAAAGGCGAAGGGCTCTGTTTGGAAGCTGACTAAGGTCCTAAAACGGGCATGCTTTGTCAGCAGCAGCGCAGTCTAAGGACTCAACCTTTTTATCAGTTTTTTAAAGCTTTCAAGCTTAATTTAGCCATATTATTCACTGAATACATTCTTTGTTTTTAATTAACGCAATTAACACAATTTAAACGATTTATTTAAAACAACTTGATATTTGAATTTTGTACTGTTAACTGAAACAATAACTCTGCATTAAAACAAACAAATTTGATGTGTTTGGTGTGAGCAGCCAGCCTTGGTATCGAGCACAACAACGACGGTCATCTTTTGTCTTCTAAATGAAGAATACGATCCTAATGCCGTTGTTTATCTTGCGCTGCAAAAGGATATTAAACTTGGAATATGATATGGTTAGGCATCTGTAGTTGGGACTCACCACGTAGTACTCGAAGGGATCCCGGCACATTGGACAGGTGTTAGAGGGGCACATACGATAGACATTGCAGAGGCAACGCTTGCAAAATTGGTGCTTGCAGGGTGTGCACACCCTGCTTCTCATGCGTCCGCGGCAAACAGGACAAGGATCTCGGGCCATATCACCGATATTTTTAGTTTGCAATCAGTAAGATCATAAGATTTTGTTTTCTCTTCGATCCGACAAGGTGTTAACAGTTTCGACTAATGACAATAAATGAGATTTGACAGGAATATACAAGGTGCTAGTCTGTGTTGGGATTGTCAAAGTGTGTAATGACAGGGAGTTATGATAAAACGACACACATAAACTCTCAACGTAACTTACCTTGTATACTTCTATAATGTTGTAAGGCAAAGCCGTCTCCAATGGCATCTTTTATAGAAAATGATTCACTAAATCGACCATGACTATTAACGTAGTGGAAGTCAGATTGCACAAACAGGGTGCCTTCTTGAAGAGCTCTACCCATCCACCTCCTAGGAATGTCTCATCAATAATCCATAAGGGATATATATAGTAATAAATACATAATTATAGCAAACCATGACACCCTGTATATGCCAGATTACATAAGCACAAGCGGCTGACAAGTGGAGGCGCCGCCTGCTTATTGTTTCACATGGTACATTATAGATTTTTATCAGGCCCTTATCCAGCGCCAGTGCCAGCGCCAGGGGCGGCACATGCAAGCATTGAATATTGTCAAATTAGGGCAAAGATTGATTGTCATTTTGTCAGTCAGTCACTCAATCACTCAATCGCCAAGGACCAAGCCCCACTAATGCTTCCATACCATTCTCTTTCTCTCTCATTTCATGCTTCCTTCCTGCCATCCTGCAGCGGTTGGCTGGGCAGCGCCAAGGGATGGTTGGGTAACGCCTCGATACCGTCGATGCCAGCCATGCCGTCGATGCCATCGATGCCAGCCATGCCAGCGATGCCGTCGATACCATCGATTCCGGGACTACGCAAAACGGGAGGAGCCGATGGAGCCGAGGGCGCCGAGGGAGCTGCCGCCGGAGAGGGCGGTCAGGGCGCTGCCAGTGGAGCCGTGAGTGGTGGCGAGGATGACGACAAGTCGAGGTATATTAGGTATGGGTGCCAGCTTAACAATGACGGAATTAAATACGAAGCCGCAGCCGCAGAAACAAAACCGAAATAATTTATGAAATGAAGATGAGAAGCGCGTTTGTATTTTAGTTTCTCTTAGTTTCGTCCTCGGTTAACCTCCGTTTAATCTTAGCCTTTTGTTCAACTTTATTTCGGGTGCCTTTTTGTTTGAACTCGAAGTTGCCGGGAAACTTTTTCCTCCATGCGAAAGAAGTCTTCTCCGGTTTTATTTTTCATTAGTTTGCCAAAAGAACCAACCGTTAAAAGCCGCCTTTTTTCACACAAATGAAAAATACTAACCAATATATAATACCACACACGAGTTTCTTAAAACTATATATGAACTATTTACTATTTACAATTTGCCTATATACTCGACACCTCAAAGAGACTCTTTCTTACATTTAGTTGAGATATTGTTGCGCATTTTCACTCTTAACCAATATATATTTATATTTGCCTATTTATTTAACACTGTTACTCTTGTGCTGATTCAAAGTTCCACCTTTTCACATATATATAATTAATAACTTTTTGTACAAAGCAAAATGCGATACTCTGTCTCTCTATAAACCCCCTTTAATCTTGACTCAAATCTATATCTTTACCATCTATAATACAATACTAACCACATATGTAAGTCGTTTCAACGTTTTTGTATATAAAACTGAATAATTGCGACCTGAAATTGGCTAAAGACAACCTATCAAAATTTTGTCCCTTTGCAAGGAAGTTGGAAACGTTTTAGTTAAGTTAATTAAGTTAAATTAATAGTTTTTAAAGCTCTTAGCAAGTTGAGGAGTTCATTTGTTCTTGATACTTTAATATCTGGTAAGTTTCGGCTGGTTCCAACCTTGAAAACGGACACAATTTTGTTGAAAATTCGTACTCGAATCAATAACTGAAATTTCCATCAACTCACTTCATTCAGTTCATTATGATCAAAAAACAATTTCCATATGATTTAGGTCTCCTTTTAAACACGAAACACACATAAACCATACAACATTTAGCAGTCCCATCTTTATCTCGCTTATTTTGAGTCATTTCATTTCAATTAATTTATCGAACGCTTCGATGATCCAAATGAAAAACAAACCAAAAAAAAAGTGTTTTAACCTTCACTGATGAGATTGCCCAAAGTATCAGATTCCATCATTATTGAGCGGCCCATCAAACCAGGTCAAGGAACCCATATAAACCTATCTGGAACAAAATGTCCTGTGGCTACGTACAGAGTAGATAAGAAATACACCCAAGCTCAAACCTAATTGTTGTTGGTAGATGTTTATCATTGTCATTATTCCGAGATCATTATCAGTCCCATAATAATCACTGTGCTTTGATTTCCTGGTCCTGGTCCATGCATCACCATCTCGCTGTATTCTTTTTTTTTTTTGCTGTGTAGCTCTCTCCTTCCGTGTATCATTTCGTTTTATCCTTTTTTTCCCCTCCTGGTCTTGTGTTCGTGTAGCTGCCAAGAGCATCCTTCCGACCACCACTTCTCTCTGTCTATGTTGTATCTATCTGTCTTTTCCGGGGACCGACTTAAAAGTCCTGAAAATGGCAAATGAATGGAAGTATTATGAATTCATGATGATGCTAATTAGTGTCCTTGCATGGCGTCTTAGTGTGCTCTCTTACCGGTTTACTCTCCCTTTTCTGTTGTCTCTCCACGTAGTCCCTGTTTTTGGCATCAAACATCCGGACATTCATATAAGTTTCTATCATTTCATTTTGCATTCACGAATCAAACTAAAGAAAATTACACTATAAATGAATATATCTGTATACAAAAACATATGAATACGTGTAAATTAAACATAGGTGTATATATTTATTCAAATTTAAAAAGCAATTTTTACAATAATCTAAAGTAAAAAGGATTTATTGATGCTGTGCTTGGAAAGAACCTGCATATCCTTTGGAAAAAACTTAAGCATTTGTTTAAATTAAATTTCCTTAGCTGGAAAAGAGAGACAGAACCATCCTATATAAGTTTTCTTTGTTTATTGAATGATGGATATATTGTTGGTTTAGCATGAGCTGTACCCTTTTTTGATTTTTTAATTCAGCGTAGTTATTAGCCTAAGTGCATATTTAATATGGATGTATGTAAATACGACTAGTGTCATAACGACCTCAGCTTCTATCTCTCTAAATAATGTACAAAATTTTGGCACAATGAGCTTGTAAGTCAGTTTAAACGATAATACGTAGGCACTATGACACTATGCGTTATAGCATGTACCTAATCTTATACTATTTGAAGCCTTCTGCCTGCTGCATGATAAAAACCTAGAGCTATGACACTATAACTATATAATTTTGTCTTAAAACTGAGATTGTATTAACAAATAATTCTTGTTTCTCTCCTTTCTTCACTTGTGCAGCGCCACAGAGGGTGCCGACTCGCATCCTGCATCCGGCGGTGGCACGCCCACCGGCGACGAGGGTCAAATCGGACAGGGTAAGGGCGATGAAGTCAAAAGTACGTGTCACACTTTGATTGGTAACAAAAACAACAACAAAAATTAATAATTAAAAACAATTACAAAAAAGAGACAACAAAAATGCCAAATTCAATTCAAAAAACAATTGAGATAGAAAGCGGTGACAGGTTACTAACCCCAAGTTACTTGTAGTTTACTCTTAAACCCAGTTGAAATGTCCAGAAACTCCCCTGCCATTATGGCATCCTCCCATTCAGAGCTCCCTAGTGAATGAATCGTTTGCTTTGTAGTCTAGTTTAGTTTTGGTTTTGCAATCGCAATTATGCGATTGTCTTTGATGATGGCAATATAGTTGTAACCCTTAGCTAATCTTTCACATTCTTAAATCCTTCCCCATAGTTACCACGAAAGTAACACAGCAGGCCAAACACTTTGGATCCTTCTTGTCATCGGCCATCAGCAAGGCTGGCAGCAAAATCAAGGAAACAGTCAAGGATAATGTGAGTAGACTTCCGCATGTTGGGGGAACCTGTATTTAATTGCAAAAACTATGTATTTCAGACCATTCTCGACTCATTCAACAAGGAGCAGGAAGCCTTCATCAAGGGACAGGGCGGCGTTGGCAATGGGGCAGCCCCCTGGATTGGACATGCCAACGAGGCCAAGATCAAGGAGGAGATCCTGGGCCTGTCACAGGATCGCCGCAACTTTGTACGCGCCCCGCCAGCCGGCGTGGACTTTGAGTTTAGCTATGACACCGCCTACCCCACGGCCATAGCCATTATGGCCGAGGACAAGGCGCTCGAGACGATGCGATTCGAGCTGGTGCCCAAGATGTGAGTTGAATTGCTTCCCAGAATGGGAGTAGAATGTAATTTCCCTGTGCTTCCACAGCATCACTGAGGAGAACTTCTGGCGGAATTACTTCTACCGCGTCTCACTGATCATCCAGGCCGCCGAGCTGGGCACTCTGGGCGCCGATGGCGTGGGTCAGGCCTCCAGCGGTGAAGATGGTAAGTGATTGTAGCTCCTAGCTGCTCCCCGGGAAAACAACAACAAATAAATGCAGGGAAACAGACTGTCCAAGCTCACGAAAACACTCACACTCGTTACTCGCGCGCTCTATCTCGATCTATCTATCTATCTATATCCGTATCTCTGTATCTATCTGCCCCACCAACCTCTGTCTATCTTTCTGTACGTCTAAGTCTTTCGTTTTTGGTTCACTTTAGCCACACGCGCCTGTTTAACATATGATTTCCTCTTAGTCCTTTTTCACACACGCTAGCTGTATCGATATCGAATCTTTTCCGTTCTCTCGCTCCTCTCTATCTATCTCTCTAACTCTAATACATACTACTACTATATCCCTCAAGTCTCAAACTAACTAACTTGGCTAGCGTCTGTACTACACCGCCTAAGAGTTTGCTCCAGTTTTGAGTTGTTTGAAAACCCTTTGATTTGTACTCGTCCCACGTCCCTCCTCCACCTGCACTGGACCCGAGTGTCCTTGGCTTTCGGTTATTCCTCCTCACTCTTACCCAAAAAAAGAAATTAATAATCATATCAATCGCGCCGCCTCGAAGCTCAATTTGAAATCGCTCCACGAACGTCGCCAGCCGCCCAGCGCCTCACCTCAAATCGAATTACTATTATTATTATTATTATTATTCTATCTTTCTTTAGTTTTTTATATTTATTTTCTTGTGTTGTTCCGTTTTTTTATTATTTTTGTGAATTACAAAATAAAACTTGACTGTGGTTAATCAGCCAAAGAAGTGACCACCAATGACAAGATCAAATCCAAGACTGCCGAAACAACCAAGAGCGATACTGGCCTAAAGAAACCCATTGCCGAGCAGCCAAAGGCCGTTGTAGAGTCCCAAAAGGACCAGGAACAGTCTGAGCCCAAGGCTCGTGCTGCCGGCACTGAGTTGGATCATAAAATCTCCGAATCGGAATTCGTTTCGGATGACTTTCAGACCACCAGCGAATCGGACTTGGCTGAGATCCAAGCCGGCATGCGTAAGCTGGGCATTGACAGCATGACCCAACAGGCTTTAGCCACGACTGATGGTAAGACTTATCATTTATTTATTTATTTATTTATTATTATTTCCCATGTGTTGTGTTTTAAGTTGATTCCAAGACTAACAATTATTGTACATACATTTGCCGTCCCATGAAATTGATCAACTAAATTTCATTGGTGTTCTGGAACCACACACGAAACATTCATTCATACATACACTTATCACAAAAACACACTCACACATGACATGTTAAAACACTGGAAAGCCTAAAGTGTAGTATAGTATGATATTGCTTAGCCAGAGATCTACATCTGCATCCTAGAGAGTCATTGATGGGCAACCAGTATTTGGACACCTTCATCTTAGCATCTTTCTGAACACGATAATGATGTCTCTTGTCTGAGTCGCGTGTATTTTGTTTTCCAATTCTCATTCTCATTCTATATTTGCAAGCAAAGCCAACACATCAAAATGTATATGATATGATTTTTTTTGTTTAAACAATACAAAAACAAACAAACAGAACAAATAATATAAAAAAACATGAAAACAAAACAAAAAATGTGTGTACAAATCAAGTGTAAAAACCGAACAATTCTCTTTTTTCTCCTCTGCTCTGTTTCTTTCTTTTGTGTAAATTACATTTTGTATGAAAATCGTTTTTACTTATACTATATATCTATTATGTGACGACCAACTCAAGCTCTGGCATTTAATTACTAAAGCGAATCTATCAATATCGAAGCGAATATAAAACGAATAAACCGAATCACTTAAATAAATAAATATAGAAGTAAATCAACTAATGGATAACAGAAGTATTATATAAATTATTTAAACACGTATAAATATATTAAAGATATATCCTGGATTAAATCGAACTCGGGTCAAAAGTTTCGTTTGCCATTTAGCAAATTAAAGAATAAATAAAATGCAATTTGATTTCAAGTATCGAACGGTCTCAGAATGCGCTAAAAGCCACACAAATCAAATTTCGAACAAGTTGAGTATGACCAAACTGATCAAGAAATTCCTATATACTACATATATATCCTATTGATACAACTTTCGCTCTATCTCTCTTTGCAATTTCGTGCTCTCTCCTACTTTTTATTCAATTCCAGTTCATTTATGAAAAATTAGCTAGATGTATTTTTGTTCTTTTCCCCCCTCTCTCTTTCTTTCGATTCCCATTTCCCTTTTGCATTTTATTTTTACACATTTCTTCACAACAAAAATAAAAAAAAGAAAAGAAATGAAGCCTTAAGTGGTCGCGACACAAAAATGAAACCTCCTCCCCTAGAAATACACAAAATTTTTCAAAAATATAATATTTGATGATGAATTTGTATGGGAAAACATTTTTAACCAAAAAACATTTATTTTTCTTCATGTATTTCTTGATTTATTTACGAATCGAATCATCTTCCAGAAGATTGAATGGATTAAACACAAAAAAAAACAAAAGCTAAATCTAAATTTCAAACGCAAAAACCAAGAAAAAATACAACTAACAAAATAAACAAAGAACAAAATTATACAAAAAAAAAAATGAAAAAGAAATACTACAAAATTGCCCACAAGAAAGAAAAGAAATTGTTAAGCGAAACAAAAGAAAAAGTACTACAACAAACAAAATTATATAAATACTTATAAAGATATTCACTTGACAACAAAATGATAATTTGAGTTGAACCCAGAAAACGCATTATTTATACATATAAACCGATGAAAGAAAGAACCCCTCAAAAAAGTTACTAAAACCGAAACAAAATTTTGTGTGGTAAGTTAGAAATTGTTGGTTGCATAAAAACAAAACAAAAAGAAAATATACAAAATGGCAACAAGTTTTAGTTGTGATTCTTATCGTTTCCATGTTGATTTTCAATTGCATAAAGTTTCTGTTCGGCAATATATATTATTGTATGTAAATATTATCCAACAATTCAAAGTAGTTGCAATCTCAATCATTTCCCTCTATGCTCCTGTCTGTGTCTATGATAACTACTCGTTGTTGTGTATGTTTAGTATGTGTGTGTCCTCAAATTGTTTAGTTTATTAGTTTTTTTTTAGAAGAACCAAGCTTCAGTCTTTAGTTCGGCATATTAAAAGTATATAGTCTTTAGTATTTCATTGATGTGCGTGGTCTGCCGGAGGGGAAGAAGAAAGAAAGAAACCTTTAATGGACATTTGGCGCTTCTTTCGGAAAATTAAATGCTTTTTTATACTGCACAAATATATAATATATATCTATATGGAAATATAACATTTTATGGTCCAACTCACCACACAAAATCTATATGAAAAAGCGTTCCAAAACGATAGATAGAAATTCAACTTGGCAAAAGGAAACGAAGAAATACCTGAATAAGCCTTTGACCTCTTTACTCAGTTTCTTTCCCCTGCCTCTCTCTCTCTCTCTCTCTCTCAATTTCTACATGGCATTTTAAGTTAATTAATGTTTAAATCATATTCTTTGCCAGCTTAATAGAATATTTCATATTTGGCAAGCTTCGTCGGTTAACAAGTGTGTAAATATGTATTATTACCCTGAGTTTGCTTGCTTTTTATGCGTAAATGCTGTAAATACACACTAAATATATATATATATTATCTTTGGTTGTGATCATTTTATTAATTGATGGAGTGTGATAAAACCGTAATAAATAAACCAAACCAAACACAAATTGGTGTTTCGGGACTACAAGCAAGTCATGGACTGGGACTGGGACTGGGACTGGGCCACTTTTGGGTGCACGCTATCCGTTAATTAGTGCTAGAGCCTGCCCGCCCCTGCCGCCCTGGGACTCTCGACTCTAACCCATAAATTGGTGTCTGACCACTCTCTCCGATGATTGACTAAGTGAAAAAATAAACAAACAAATTTCCAACTATTTTTGTAGACGGCTATTATTCTGTTACGGTGCGCATACCCAAACGTATTACAGTGTGTGAAAGTCTATGTCTTAGCTATAACCCCAGAGACTAGTCGCAGGTAAACGCAAATCGAAAGATGATTGAAAACCGAGAACAACCATGTACTTGCTTGGGATGGTCACCTAACCACAACTCAATTGCTTGCCTATAGACACCTTTGATATACTAAAACCTATATTAAATATATACGATATATATGTAAACCATGTATGCTAATCCAATATTATATATCCTTACATATGCCGATATATATATATATCTGTTGCCGCGCTGCTAAGCCACGCAAATTCTAATCGAAACTCTGCTTGTTGCTCCGTCTTTTGAACAGAGGAACAATGGGAAAAGGATCTGGAGGCTGAACTCAAAGACTACGAGGTGGTGGACGAAGGCGGCACTGGCGGCGGCGGAGGACGCAGGAAAGGAAGAAAGGCCACACAGGAGGAAACCCAGGCGGAGGAGGAGGATGAACCGACAATATCAAACTTGCGCACACGCTCGACTAACAACGATTGGGAGGAGTACGCCGATTTAATTGAGGATACCGATGATTTAAAGTAATTAAGAGCTTATATCGTAGTTTCTTCTAAGTTGGCTCTAAGTTTATAACTATCTTTACTTTATCTTTCTTTCCATTCCTTTCTACCCTTGTTTCCTCCTTGATTGATTACCCAAAAAAACAAACAAAATATTGTTAACCCTAACCAATCTAAACAAAAAAATACAAATACTTTCGAAACCACAGAACTTTGAAGTGCCTAAAGCGCACCATGTTGGGCTATCCATGAGACGAGGCCGTCCCAGCGCTCTTCTAGTGCCGGCGGTGGTCCACAGCCCCAGGGGCCTGTCTTGCGGTGGCCTATTGGAAAAGTTGGTTGAGATATGTACATACCTAACACCCACTCCATTATTGGCCCCCCAGAGCAAAGCGTTCTATTCAGTTTCCTTCTGACATGATATAAGACACTAAAACCAAATGAAATCGATTTTATTCAACCTTAACGTTTTAATCCAACAACAAAAGATAACAAAAAAAGAAAGAAACCAAGCCCAAGCCAATCCGGTATTCAAATATAATATCCACTATATATTCTCTTTTATTTGGTTGAAAGACACCGCGTGGCAGCGGAGTGTAGGGAGTCGGAATTACTTGCCAATTGTTCAGCACACGAAATCCGAGAATCTGGCAGTCAGTAACCTATCAATAAGTACTTGCAGGCTAATCGGGAAACTGGCTAATGCTATATAGATGCAGAGATCATATTTCAATATATACTGACTAAGAGTTGAAGAGTAAAGCAAACCAACAGAAAGTCAAAAAAGAAAAACAAGTAAAGCTTCAAAGGGAAAATTTTGTTATTTATATTTATAAATAAATTATATATATATAAACTATATATATATATACAAATATATATATATCTATATATATATACAGATAAATTAATGCATTTGAATTTAATGTGTAAAAATTATAATAATAAAGATATAGATATAAAATATGTAAAGATACGAGAGACACCCAAAATAAAAGTTTGCAACGTTTTCGGTTGAGAATTAGTTCTCAAAGTGATTATTTCTTTACGAATTCAAAATCGAGATACAAGCGAAATAAAACCTAGTAATTCATTAGTTTTGAGATCAAGATCAATAACGACGCATTCGAAAGTATTATTTCTCCCTCAACAAATAGTTAATAGTCAAACGAAGAGGATATTAAACGTTGAATAAATCATCATTGATTGATATATGCTTAAACGACATGTTGATGAATAAATAAATAACAATGCATATAAATATAAAATACCTATTGTTTAGCTCAATTTAAGGCGCGCCAACAAGTTTTCTTTTCCGAACCATTTTCGTTCGACTCAATTTCCTCAAATATATTTTTTATTTTTCTCCTAACAACTCTCACCTTGCTGTTCCACTAACGAGACACGAAACTTCCTTGAACGAAACTAAAACAAAAACACAAGAAAACAAAAATGCCAAAACAATAATATTCTGAATTGGACTAAAAACGCAATTAACAATTAACAAATTACAAATTACAAATGACAAATGAAAAGTAAACACGCAATTATAAACAATAAGCAGTTCAAAACCTTTTGAAACAAATATATACACATATATATTTATATATATTTCACTAGACAAATTTTTATGCATAAACTAAAAACAAAACAAATTCTATATTATCAATGTTTTTGCTCTAAATGTCTAACTAATTGTTAATAAAACCAAAAATTAAATTATTTTCCGCAGGCAAAACAAGTTAAATGAGAATGCTATATAAATATGTGTCATTATTTGTTAGCAGTGGCAAATAAAAATATTTAAATGAACATGCTGACGAAGCGATGATGATATGGAAAAAGTAAAAGTTATGACATTAAACTGTATATTGTACATTTACTTTTAAAAAACAAATGAAATGTATTTACACACGAGAAACGGCATGGAATATGACGATGATACGAAACTAAAGAAATTTTAAAATTTATATTTACTTTGTGCGTTTTTAAACATGTTGGCGACACAATGACAAGCAGATTAGTGCATAAACCTAACTAATAATAATAATAACAATAAATATTAATTAATGGTAAATAATGTAATGACGTTGACAACATACATATGTATTTTACAAGGCAGAAAAACCCAAACCAACCTTTACCCAATCCACACCGAATCCCGAAAGATATATATCAAATTCCTGGCATATTTCGCATATTTTATTGTCTGCAAAAACCGTTTATTAACCAAACAGAAACCAACCCCAATTCAATTAAACCGTTTACGAAAGTTTGTTGAGCAGCAGCATTCCATTGATATAACATTGCAAAATGAACAAAATATATGTATATGTACTAATTAAAGTATATCACCCGGAAAAAAACCACGAAAAAAAGAAAACCAAATGTATAATTTAGTTGTTTAATGATTGATAATATTTAGACACACCAGAGGATGCCCCAAGCATCGTCCGGATGCAAATTTAGTCATCTGAGACAGCAGAGAAACACTCTCCTCGATATGCCATAGAACATTTTCCACTCCAATGTAGAGCGCAGAAGAAGGTGGAGTTTCTCTGAAGAGAACACACAAGAACACCCTGAAAACCAAGCACAGAATACTGTAAAGTTCGATGACAGACCGACCGAAGACAACACCATGAACACACACGAGTATATACATAATAAAAATATATATGAGAACAATTTAACGAGATTAAAATCAACTAACGTAATAAAGGGAAAGTGTATAACTATTAAAACTAAACGACAACCCACCCAGCTCTTTCATTTCGGTTTTTTGCACATATTTTGCATTCAATTTATTCACACAAATTTACAATATTTCGCTAAATTGGTTAAAAGAACACAAATACAGTTTTTTTGAACAATGCACAATGAATTAACAATGGGTGTTAATAAGCATGCGATCGTCTGCCGTTAGCGGCAGGCCAATAAAATAATTTACAATATTGCATTTGGTTTAGATCAGGAAATCTCATAGGTGTACCTTCTATCTTGGGATATGATGTGAGTGCAGCGGCTTCGCTTGGCTTACGGCTAATAACACAATGACATTGACCTAATGATGCCCCTTCACCCTGGACTAATTACACAGCTAGATGCTACACTTGGACCCAGCTTGGGTGGTCACCAGCGTTGGCTCCGCCGGTGCGGCTCTGAACGCTCGTAGGTGATGCTCTTGAAACGTGTGTTCGCTTCCAGCTGCTGCTGCTTCGGAACAGGCTGTCCACGATTTAGAAGGTCTTTCCATATCATGGTGAGTAGTATGAATATCGCGCCCACAATCTTGTTTAGAAACTCCAGCACCTTAAACACGATCGGTGTGGCGGTGTGGGTGAAGCGACTGAGCTCGAACAGAAAGCGCACAGCAAAAACGCCCAGGAATCGCAACGCCATCGCCGCTCCACCAAGGGCCGAGAAGATGAGCAGGCCCAGAAACCGGATGGTACCCATTATGTTTCGCTTGTTCACATCGTTGGCCATAAAGTCATAGACAGTCTGCTTGACGCCGTCTCCCCACTGCTGCAACACGGCCAGGAAGTCGTTTAGGCCCAGCTGAACCTGATCCGCGACCTTATCGGACGGTGAGAGTCCATCGCCTGAGGTTATCGCTTTGCTGTTATTATGGCTGCTCCGGTTGAGAGAAAGGGATCGTCTTGGGGGGACCAGCGGCTCTGGCTCCACGGCGCGCACCATTTTTAGTTTCAGCTGAACTTCCTGGTCCCGGAAGCGTATTGTTTTTATGCTGAACCAGTACTCGCCAAACGCCAGATCACTCAGCTCCGTCCAGATACAGGTCTCCAGCTGTCCCGGATCCGATGTGTGTTTATAGCTACCATAGCTCCCGCTTGTTACGCCCACCCACATGTTGGGCACGAAGCGCTGGTAGAACATCCGCAGTTGGCCTGCGCTGTTGTGCAGCAGCTTCTCCAGCTCACGCTCGCTGCGCTGTAGCACCACCACGTCCCGGTAGCCACCCACCTGCTCCACCAGACAGCGCTCCAGATAGTGGCCGCGGAAGAGGCGTGACTTGTATAGTTGCTTGGTAAGAGACTGCATCGCCAGCTCCTCGGGCGGCATGGGACGCGCTGCAGCCATCGGTACGATCAGTTCGCTGGTGTCCATTGGAAGCTGCTCGAGATAAGCTCAATCATTATGAGGAATATTTGGCCTGCAATGATGACCTTACCAATTGATAGTACTTGGACTTTGCTGCAACCACTTTCGCCGCTTAGTCAGCACACACCGAGTTTTGTTATTGTTTGGAAATCCAAAATGTCACCATCAAATACTAAGCGCCAAAACAGGGGTATAATAGCTTGGATTTAAAAATGTTCACTTATTTTTAGCTCCCTGCATTTTGACAGCGGACTTTGCATAAAAATATGTAGGTCCTGCTGAATTTACAAAATTAAACAACAACCAGGTGTAGATAGTTGGGCAAGAAGCAGCTGTCTTCATTAGAGATGGGCAGTGGTCATCGTGTCACGCGAACGAACGTTTATTTAAAAAACGAATTTCTATCGTAAAAAACTTGCTTGGAACATCGGCCAGAAACAATTTTTGCTTAAAAGTCTTATTCAGGAGCATGATCCAATTATTATATCGTGTCCAGGATCACAAAAAAGACTTGATCGTCGAAAAGTTATTTACAAAAACCCGATATATGACGATATCGATAATTGTGCTTTTTCCATCTCTAGACTCAATAAGCGACAGTTCCCCATCGCTAATGTGACGAAAAAAAATTAATAAAACTTTTTTGATACTCATTTTTCCAAGCATTTTCACCCCCGGCCTTGTTGGTTTCCTTCCCCGTCAAGATTTCCTCCCGACAGCGACTGGAAGAGTGCTTAAGGATGACTTTGGTGGGTCTAGCAGCCCGCAAGCTGGCGCAGAAGCAGAGGTAAAACCGCTTTAGGGAGCCTAGCCGGCATTTTTCGCTAATCTTGTATGCGCTTACTCTTTCCGCAGGTCGGCCAAGCTGGCGGCAGCTTTTCCGAACGGGGTCCGGTGTCAGAAGTGCCTCCAGATGGGCCACTGGAGTTACGAGTGCAAGGAGAAGCGCAAGTTCGTGCACCGCTCCTCGCGGACCAAGCAGCTGAGCAAACACCTGGCCGAAAAGGAGGCACAGGCGGGCAAAGTCGTTCCGGCTGGCCAGGAGGGCGACAACACCCAGGACGCCAGTTCCGCGAGCAGCAAGAAGGCCAGACGCAAGCGGAAGCCCAGTGGGAGTTCCTCCTCGTCATCTAGTTCGTCAGGCAGTTCAGACAGCAGCAGCGGGTCAGACTCTTCTTCCGCCTCGGACTCAAGCGACTCTAGCTCAGACTCTGATGACAGCTCATCGGAATCCAGTGGTAGCGGTTCCAGCGGCTCCGAAAGCGAGAGCAGTGAGGATCCGGATCAGGGGGCGCCCCAGAAAAAGAAAAAACGTGACGAGAGTTCGGCGGACTCCTCAGACGACCAGGAGTAGGAGTTGAGAGCCAAGTCTCGTTTCTATAGCGCATAGCTTTAGTAGTTTAGTTCTCCCCCATTAGCAGTCACCCCAAAAAAATTGACTTTTAACCGAATATAATTGTAATATTACGTATTATTTAAGTTCCCCCGTATGCATGTAAATGAGTGATCTGGCAGAGAAACCTAGCCAGAGTGCTACGAATAAAGATTTTAGTCAGTCCGAGTCAATCTCCTCGTCGTACTGCTCCAGCTTCTGGAACACGCTAAGATCCATCAGCTGCTGGTTGTTGATGTGCTCACACTCTGGGACCGGGACCGGTTGCATTATCGGCCCGTCCAGGTCAATGTGCAGGGGATCACGAGCCGGGATAATGGTGTTCTGCAGTTCCAATGACTTTAGATGCAGTTCTTCAACCTGTGACATATCAAATGGTTAGATTTGTCTAAGAAAAACTAATAGCCAATGGTACCTTCAATGAATTCAGAGCCTCCTGGATGACGGGAAGGACTTTCTCCAGTTTCTTTTGGATGGTGAACAGGTCGGTCTGCTCCTTTTGGAGGACGTGGTTTGATTGCAACATCTTTAAACAACAACAAAAGAATCAAACTACCGATAGCAGCGGCTATCGAAAATATTTATACTTTCTTTTTTATTTGTTTGTTTGAAATAGCACTTAATGTTTATAATACTGCATATAATTATTCAATTTTAATTTTTAACAAATGCAATAAATTTACGATTGCCAACGATAACCGATTGCTGCCAGGGCTGCAATTTGATAGGAAGCCGTGTATGCTATTATCGGAATCGTTCGCGCCTTTACACAATTTTCATTTTGTACAGTCAAAATATTTATTAAAAAACGAAATCCCTTTAAATATATACAAGCAGAAGCTTATATATCAGAGGACAATGGACACGTGCGAGACCAGAGAGGTCGTGGCACTGTTGAAGCGGTTCTCAGTCAGTTGTGAACAGTTGGAGCTGGATTCGCGGATCCAGCAGAGCGCCTTCGAAACCTACCGGAGATTGGCGGCGGACGGCGGATTATCCGACAGCGGAGACGAGGCACTGGAGTGGCTCTGCTGCGCAGTATACAGTGAACTGCAGTTAGCGAAGATCCGGGATATTAAGTCGGAGTTGGAAGGATCAGGACCCCATTGCTGGAATCTGTCGCTTACACGTTTACTGCGCAGCTTCAAGGTGAATGGATCGGTGTTCCTGCGCCGTATGGAGTACTGGAACTGGCTGGCCCAGAACAATAAGGTCTTCCAGTTGGAGGTGGAAGAGCTGCGCCGAAGGTTTAGCATCACGCTAATCCTATTGCAGCACTATAAGTGTATCTTTCATCACCTCTTCAGCCAGCCCTCCGACCCGGCAGAGACGGATGCACTGCCCCTCTACCATTCGCTCTACGAGTTCGGCTGGCTCCTCTTTTTGGTCGTACGCAACGAGCTGCCTGGCTTTGCCACCGAGAACCTGGTGAACGGCTGCCAGGTGCTTGTCTGCTGCATGGATCTGCTGTATGTGAACATGCTGGAGGTGCCGAATTCAGTAATTATCCGCCGAGACTTTCCGGGCCTACCTTCGATGTGGGGCACCGAGGACTTTGACTTAGATATCTTAAATAAATACAGCGCCTTGCCTGCCATCGGAGCGCTGGTCCCCCAGCTGCCGGAGAGGGGAGTGCAGCAGATGAAGAATGCCTTCTTCCATAAGGCCCTAATGGTGCTGTTTATGGACCAGTCGCTGCTAGGCAACGACACTCACATGCGGGAGATTGTAAAGGAAGGAATGCTGGACGTCAACTTGGCTACCCTTAATCGTAAATACGCAAGCCATGTGGCTGACATAGGCGAAATGGACGAGAGAGTCATGTTGTGTTGCCAGGATGCGAAAGAGCGGAATAAGGATTCGAAAAGGAGTCCAAGGCTGGTCTCTCAATCAAGCACCTCCTGCTCTTCACCTTATAAAAAGCTACTTGACCATAAGCTGCCACAAAGTCTTCCTCATATTATCAAAACACTGGGCGAAGGAGAGAACTATGATGCCATAGTGCACCCCGTGGAGCAGCTGCTACTCATGCTGGGCCATACATTTACCACTGCCGTGAAGGATCATATGAATGAGAAGGTGGCTGAAGAACGATTTAACCTGGCTAGAGGCCTCTTCTATAAGTTCCTACAAAAGATCTTGGCCTCTGAATTGGCTTTGAAGCCTCAACTGAAGCTAGGTAACTTACTCAAACAATCCACCATGACCACATCCCTGATTGCCTGCTCCCTGGATTTGGCTCTGCATATCCATGATGAGAATGTCAAAGAACTGCGGTTTCCCTTCGTACTAGACTGTTATTCACTGAATGCCTACGACTTCCAAAAGATTGTAGAGGTTGTGGTTCGACACGATGAAGGCTTGCTTGGTATTGAGCTAGTTAGGCACTTGCACACGGTGGAGGAGAAGTGTCTGGGAACACTGATCTTTCGCGCTAACTCGCCACTGTGGCGAAACTTGGGAAAGAACGATCGGCTACCCAGCTACCAAGATGTCCAAACTCAGTCAGAGGACAAGGAGAACCCGTCGACCGGCGTAGATATTTGTCTACGAAAGTTCTATGCCCTGGCCCACCGGCGGCTACTTGGTCTCTGCAAAAGGGTCTCCCTAGTGGATGCATATCCACGTATCTGGCACCTTGCCGATTACTCCTTCACCCTCAAGGGCAGCGAACTGTTGCGCCAACGCAACCTGGACTTGCTTCTGCTCTGCGCCATCCATCTGCACGCCCGTTTGGAGGATCTGCGCCTGAGCTTTAGCCAAATCATCCAAGAGTATCGTCGCCAACCGCATGCCCAGAGCAGCGTCTATCGGCAGGTCACCCTGGGCAATGGTCAGATCTCGGATATTATCGAATTCTACAACACAACATACGTGAGGAGTATGGCCCGCTATGGGATGCACCTGCGTTGCGACCAATCATCACCTGCCAAGTCTCTGACGTACGTGACCGTTCTGAAAGATGCGTCGCCCAACGAACTACGCATGCGGGCGAATATAAGCGTATCGTCGCCACCACCGCCGAAGATCTGCCTGAGTGAATCCTGCTCCAGCGTAGATCTGACGGAATCCATCGAATCTCCGATGGCTATAACTAATGAAGGGAATACGAATCTTAAGCGCAGTGTCTCCAGCAACGAAATCCAAGCTGACAGGCAGCCCAACATTCTTAAACGACGCACCTGCCTCCATTGACACAAACAAGTTTTACTAGGCGCATGAATCCCACTTTCGGCTACATTTTACGAAGCCACACTATTTTCTACCATTGCTATTGATAAGAATTCACTAAAACGCGCCTCACTCATTGTAAATGAATCCTTTGCTACTAAAATGAACTTTATCTCAAATAAATTGAATTCTCGATATACATTTATTGTAATGTACAAGTGTTATTTCTGTTTTAAAAGCAAAGGTTCGAGCTAAAACGTTGCTTTGAGTAACCTTTATATTGAGAACTTTCAGTGGAACGAAGCAAAACTGCAGCCTCTAAAATATTTAATTTAAATTAGAACTCCCGTGCTCTGTATATTTAAATAGATTTTAATTTAATGCCTTTGATTTCGGGACTTGGAAACTTGGTACTTAAATAGTTGTGCAATTGCGACCAGACACGAAACGAATCTTACACGTAATACAGTGGACACGGATGTATGTTCGTCAAGCTGGGGTTCGAATGGAGATTGGTTGGGCTTAGAGTGGAGTATACATATTACATACTGAGAGCGTACGACTTAAAACTAATTACTTTAACGCTTGCTGCTGGCTTAAAAGTAGGAGTTAAGAAGGAGGAGCGGTACCGGCGACTGGAGCGGTGTTTGCGGGAGGAATGCTGGCGCCGGCGGCAGGGGGCACTGATCCCGGTGGTGCGCCGCTGGCCTCTGCAACTGGGACGCTGCTTGGCGGTGTAGTATCTGTGGTATAACAAAAAAGATTTATATATAATAAGTAGAATAATTAATTATTTAAAACTTACCCATTGGTGTGGGTCCCTGAGATTGCGCTGCTGTTGCTGCTGCTGTTACTCCTGTCTGCTCGCTGGGTGTCGCGGCCAAGGCCGAGGGTGCTCCAGGTGGTGGGGGTCCACCTGCGGCTACAGCTGGTGGCGCTGGGAAGGGCGCGCCGTTGGGTGGCGGAACTACGGAGCCGGCTATATGCGGCGGCAGCGGCTGGTGTTGAGCGGTGGGCCCAGCTAGCGGCTGTGTCTGCGGCGGCAGCTGGTGCGGATGTGGCGGCAGTGGCTGCTGCTGCTGCGGAAGGTGCGGATGCATCGGCAGCGGCTGCTGTTGTTGCATTTGCTGCTGTTGCGCCTGCTGTTGTTGTGGCTGTGGCAGCTGTTGCTGCTGTTGGAGGATCATCGAGCCGGCGGCAGCCGCTTGTCCCTGCAGCTCTTGTTGGAGACGATGATGCGCCTGCTGGCGTGCTCGGAACTCGGCCGCCTTTAGCTGCTCTAAGTGGAACTGCTGGCGCTCCGTGATAAGCTGCTGGCGCTGGTACTCCAGGCCCTCGCGCTCCCTCTCCATGGTGGCCTCCAGCTCTTCAAAGTGTCGCAATTTAATCTCCAGCTTCTTCATTTGGGTCTCGACAAGCAGTGCCACCAGAGACTTGATCTTGCGCTCTTCCAAAGCGGCCAAGTGCTTGGCCTTGACTGCTGCGGATGCCAGAGCTGCCGCTGCCGCCGTTTGCATATTGTTTTCGCTGAAGGCTCCCTCCTTAGCCGCAGTACCTGTACCGGCGTTAGCTCCCGATCCTTCCTTGCCGTCATTGCCGCCATCCTTGGTCTCGCCATCTCCACTGCTGTCCTCCGTCTTGATGTCCACATCGGCGGCTCCACTGGCAGAAGCGGCTGGGTCTGTGGGTGAGGATTTGTTTGTTGATTTGTCTGACTTGCTAGCCGACTTGTCGCCCGAAGGCGAGGAGGCGGACGACTCTTTCGGTTTCTTGTCGGTATTGTTGGTGGTGCCCGACGCTGACGATGATGATGTGGAACTCGAGTCTGTGTTCGTGTTGGTCTTATCCGATTTCGTTTTGTCTTTAGACTTCGCATCGTCTGTTGTGGTTTGGTATTTGGGTTTGGTGATGGTGTTGATGTGGTTTTTTGGTAGCAGATTTTGGTAGATTTTGGGCGCAACACAAAAACGAAACAAAATACAAAAGTACAGTGCCAAATGGAGACATGTTGCAAATTTTGAGTACGAATAACACAAGAATTTACAGAAATAAAAACGATGAAGAGAACAGAGGAATACATTTCCGAGACATTTATCCATTTTTACAGATAAATTACCCAAAAAGACGACTTAACCAATGTCCCACTTGATAAACCTTCAAGAAACCATAATATTTTGTCTATTCTCTGATATCTTACCGTCTTTTTTGCTTAGATCCTTCATGTCCTCATCTGATCCGCCGGAAGCTGCTGCAGCAGCTCCCTCCTTGCTTTCCTCGTCCTCCTTATCGTTGCCTGTTCCGGCGATTCCACTGTTGGCCAGGCCAAAGTTGGGATTGAATTTTCCAGCCGCCGAGGCTTTCTCCACATTCTTCATGTGGTTGTCCATAATAGTGGCGGGCACCTCGTCCTAAAACAGATTTAAAAGCGATGTCAATATTTTCTGATTATTGGTGGTTAGCTTTACATTACCTTAATGGCAGCAAACTCCTCCATGGCAGCCTTGGCGGCAGCTGCAGCCACTCTGGGATCGACCACAGAGGCCAGGAAGGCCACAGTGGACATGATGGGGTTACCGCTCTTGCTAAACGGAATCGGCTGACAGCCCAATGGGCCCAAGAAGCCGCCATCATCCTCTAAATACGGGTCCTCGATGGGCAGCCGCAGAAAGTGGAGGATGCACTCATCCTGCGTTCGCGAGCCGACGTGCTCGCACACCTTATTCCAGTCGTCTTTGTGCATCTCAAGTCCCTCAAGCAGCAGCAGTGTCTCCTGGTCGGTCCACTCCCGTGCCATGCTGGCCGCCGTGCGATTCCTCATAGCGGCCGGCTTCTTGGCATACTGATCCAGCTTCAGGCCAAACTGGCTGACCCCGGAACTTAATCCTCCTGCTCCGGCGCCTCCGTTTTCGAGGGCCTCTGTCTTAATACCAGTCAGGCCGCCCTTGTCGCCGAGCTCCAAGCCTCCATCCTTGCCCAGTGGCTTTTTGTCAAGATCAAGCAGAGTCTTGGCCGCCGACGGCTGTTGGGTCTTCTGTGGGTTAATAGCCTGCAGACCCGACGGTGTATCCGAAAGAATGTGGAAGTGGGAGGTCGGAGGGGGGCCCATTGGGGTCGGACGTAGATCCGCATCGATCTGGTAGTTGATCAGTCCCCATTGCTCGAGGAATGCATGGACCCGCATAATAGCACACACATCTCCGGCCAAATTGCGGCGACAGGCGGTGCTGGTCAAGTATTCCGTCGGATTGAGCCTTAAAATAAAAAAAGAGCAATCAGGAAAGAGTTCAGGGACAAGATTTTAAGCCCAACTCACCTGTAGGTGTCGATCATAAAGTTCCTGTACGCCATGTAGATCTCCGGCGTCTTCGACTTGTTTTTGCTGTTGAAGAACTCCGGCATGGCTCGCTTCTCGATGACGTGAATGGAGTTGTAGTCGAACCAGGCCGAGTAAGAGGGGACAATGATGTGGTGAGTCTGCTCGGTGACATTGTCCTCCATGTCTTCCTTGGCCGATGAGAACTCCTGGGTGTTGCTGTTATCGCTCGTCTTGCCCGTCTGCGAGTTGTCCCCATCTCCGGTGGACATGGCTTGGGCAGCGCTTCCTCCAGTCATTTCGTCGTCCAGGTCGGTCATGGTGCCACCTACATACATCAGAACGTGTCAGAAGGAACAGCTTATTTTCATGTGAACTTGCCACTTACCCTTAATAGGCATCATATCGTTGTCGCCACGAGATTTGCCACCCGGAGCAGGGCTGGCCGTTGACTGCAGCGCTGCGTTAGCTTTGTGCACCTCCTGTACATTGGGTTCGGCTGGTGGGTCGTCCAAATCGCGTGTAAGGTCTTCATCGTCGTCGTCATTGCGAGACTTTTTGTGCACAACGGCGGGGGATCGCTTACGTTTGCCCGGCTTCGAGGATGAGGTGGATGCAGACGTTGCCGGTGATGGCGAGCGGCGTCGCTTCTGCTTGCCTCCGCCGGAGCTGGTAGCAGGCTTCTTTTTTTCGTCGCCAAAGGACATGATGTCGTCAATGGACATTCGCTGCTTGTGAGTCTTCTTCTTGCCCTGCTCGTCCACTTCGTAATCCTCCTCAGCCATCCACTCGTTGTACTGCTCCAGGTCCAAGATCCATGAGGCGGAAACGCGCCAGCGCTCTGCCGGCGACTCGGGATTCTCCGGAATGTGATCCGGCAGGTCAAAGCTGTTCACAGCCCAGGAATCGTATGACTCCGGGAAGTAGTACCAGTGCAGCATTACATGGCCACCGCGCTTAAATATTGGCCGTGCGTACTCATCGGGATGGGGATCGACAATGGGGTAAACAATGTGGGTGGATTCCTCTTCGTCGGAAACGATCTCCACCCGCCGGTTGTCAAGGATCTCGCGCAACCGCCCCTCGAAGCTCTTCTCGATCTCAGGCCGGATGTAAATGTACGGAATCCGGTAGAGGTCCGCCTCCACCAGGGCCTGTTCGATCTCGATAAGCAGTTGGATGTTGGGATCCTTGCGCGTGGGGTTCTTTCCAATAGAAAAGTCGAACTTTTTGCCGCGCTGCTCCGCCCGGAAGCGGAACATGGTTGAGAAGATGATGCACAGGCCACCGCCGCTTTTAAAGTCCAGAAAGCAGCGCATCTGAAGAGAAAACAAAGATATTCAATTAGTTTTCAATCTAACTTAATCTGTGACAACCGGTACTAAAAAGAGTTTAGTACTGTTTACATAACTTCAAGTAGTTTGTATTAATTTCTCCTCTTAATTCATAAGAATCACTTTTTACAATCACTTTTTTTACAGTTTCTTTGCTATTTTATAGCATTGAAACACATTGGGTTAATATTTACGTGTACACACGCGACACAAGGCACCCTGTATCACTCACACATTCACACTAATACCAACCGGAATTCTGGTCGCCGGCGGCTCCGCCGAATTCTTGCCAAGCTTCGCCTCCACATACTGCAGAAAGTGGATCAGCAGTTGGGCCAAAGACTCCTTCGTGATGGGTTCTGAGCTGTGGGCCAGATACTGTGGAAAAAGGTATTTCATTACTTATTGTTTTTTTCACGGCGGACAAGCGCCATTTTTGTTTGCGGCGGCGTTGTTGTTGGGGGTACGCACCTTCTTGCAGTTCTTCTGGAGCCACTGTCGGATAGATTCGAAGCCCTGCAGCGTCTCTGGGGACTGGAAAAAGTCAATATTCGGACTTCCGTCCTTTTTAGGACCCAGTGTGTTCATGGTGCAGCACTTTTTGCAGGCTTTTTCTCAATTTTCTTTTCAGTTTTCCACGCCAAAAGCCAATATTGAACGCTAGAGCTGGAACAACGACGATAGTTTGTAAATATTGATGGTAGTGCATCGATTGTCTGGTACCATCGCGATAGTTTAATTGATAATTGCATGAATTACTTCAAAAGTATCTACCAAACTAGATAATAAGTATAATTTTATAATTGTTTTCGAAAATTTCATTACTTACACGGTCTTTGCTTTTCTCAAAAGGGTTTATATATTTGTTTGCCAGAACTCAAGTTTGTTTTTATTTAAGCTGCAGTCACCATCTAGCCCAGGAAATATATGTTTTTCATGCATATAAAGTTAGCAGGATAATTTTGAAAATCGAAGTTTTGATTATACTATAACTAAATTAAATTAAGTTATCCGTTTATTATTCGTAAAATAATAAAATTCGACTTAAATTTCTTGCCAGTAACTTAGTTTGTCCGTCAAATTAGCGTCGAAATGGAACGGTGGGAAAATTAAACACGGAGGGGTTCTTTAATTTAAAATTTATTTCGTTATTAAGACACTAATTCGAATAAAAAAAATTTCTAAATGCTAAAAAATGAATTTACTATTGTTTTATACTGGGTTTGAAAGTATTTGACATTTGGATATATTAAATAAGAGCATGTGAAATATCGTGTTTTCACGGATTTCTTAATAACTCTGCTAATCGAACGCGTGCAGCAATACGTCAAAAGAAAGAAAATTTATTGTAGCTTTACCGTACCAAGTTTCAATTTTTTCAAACAGTCAGTTTTTGAGCAACTCGCATAACAGTGATCTAACCTCGGGGTCGGCTCCATACAAAATATGGCTTCACAAATAGTAAGGCATATAACTTCGATTTACGAACGCGTGCACATATGCACGGTATATAGGCACACTAGGGGAAGATAAAGGAATGTTTGGTTGGAATTTCAATAGTTTTTAACCGTCAAATTTCGAGAAAATTGAATAACAGTGGGTGGTGTATTTGGGCTTTAATCTAAGGCGCGAACTATGAAAATGGAACCAGATGGGAACCAGCAGAGAACCACTCGCTGAACTAGACCATGGAACCATGTTAAGAAGAATACTAAATTAAATAAAAATGACAAATTGTTAAATAAAACATTAAAAAAAGTGACTGCACAATAAATGGAAAAGTAATTCAAAACAATTTGGTTGGATTTTCATCTAAGTCAGGGATAGATTATTTTAGTATATAACATATCAATAAGGGCGCCCGTCACACACTATCGATAAATATCCCGCCAGAAAATATTTCTGTTGACCATTAAAACAATTGTATAAAATATGCATGCACCATGAATGGAATCGACATTCCAAGAGTTTTGGTAGATGTTTCATCAAAATCCGTTCAGTCGTTCATGAGAAAACCCCACTTTTGCATTTATTTCCATAAATGTTCCTTCGAAGAATAAATATATCTGGCAGCACTGTCTGCCTAAAATTAAATCAATTTGGTTTATACTTTTTTAGAAAACATGCAAAATTAAGATCGTCCCATTGACGGGATCGCAATTCTGAACATTTTGATCCACGTTTTGTCAAAATCCGTTCAGTCGTTCATAAGAAATCTCAACTTTTCCATTTATTTCCATTTATGTGCCGGCGATGAATAAATATTTCCGGCAGCCCTGCCTGCCTAAAAACAAGAAAAATTGATTAAAACTTTATGGTTAAACCTATGCAAAAGGAACACTGTCCCATTGACGGCATCACAGTTCTGGACATTTTGATCTATGTTTAATCGAAATCCGTTCAGACGTTAATGAGAAATCCAGACTTTCATTTATTGCAGTTGGGTACCAGGGGTGCACAGTCATGCCTCCTTAGTATATAAATTAGTAATTCAAATGTTAATTTCTCCAAAACTACTGAACGGATTTCGATGAAACACCCACCAAATTGCTTAGAATAACGATATCATTTATTGGGTATTTATTTAAATCTTATTTCAAAAATTTGCTTCTCAAATCTAGTGCTGCAAAGCCCTTGCTTTGTCATATGATTTCAGGTCAAAAATTTGCAACGCAGTGAATAAATTATTTCCGGCCATATAAAGTATATATATTCTTGATCAGCATCAACAGCAGAGTCTATCTAGCCATGTCCATTTGTCTGTTTCTTCAATAATTAGCAAACTAGACCCTCATATTTAAAACTATCTAAATAAAACATTGCAGTTAGTCTTCTATATACTTTCACTAGTGTATAATGGATTAAAATGTTCACAAATACAATGCCGTTTATTCAATTTGCAAACATACGTCCTATCATTAAGTTTAAATCACATTCATTTATTTAATATTCTTAGTCGACCATACACACATACATATGTACATACATTGATTTACGGCAATAAATGAAAAAGTCGGGATTTCTCATTAACGACTGAACGGATTTTGATAAAACATATATCAAAATGTTCAGAACTGCGATGCCGTCAATGGGACAGTGTTCCTTTTGCATAGGTTTAACCATAAAGTTTTAATCAAGTTTTCTTATTTTTAGGCAGGCAGGGCTGCCGGATGTATTTATTCATCGCTGGCACATAAATGGAAATAAATGGAAAAGTAGAGATTTCTTATGAACGACTGAACGGATTTTGACGAAACGTGGATCAAAATGTTCAGAATTGCGATCCCGTCAATGGTACGATCTTAATTTTGCATAAGTTTTCAAATAAAGTTTAAATCAAATTGATTTAATTTAAGGCAGACAGTGCTGCCAGATATATTTATTCTTCGAATGAACATTTATGGAAATAAATGCAAAAGTGGGGTTTCCTCATGAACGACTGAACGGATTTTGATAAAACAACTACCAAAACTCTTGGAATGTCAATTCCATTCATGGTGCATGCATATTTTATACAATTGTTTAAATGGTCAACAGAAATATTTTCTGGCGGGCCATTCATCGATAGGGTGCGGGAGGCGCCCCTATCGATATGAAGCCAGTGTTTGTGAATGAGATCGGAAAAAGAAAACGCTAATTTCTAAAAATCTTTGGGTTAGTTTAATTAGAGATTTAATTCGAAATTATTGAATATTTTTCCCTATCGTTTGAGATACCGTGCAAGCTTGCACGCCATAAAATTCCGCCGTGGTATATACTAAAATATTCTTTCCTTGATTTTGATGGGAATCCCACCAAATTGTTTTGAATGACTTTTCCATTTATTGTGCAGTCACTTTTTTTAATGTTTTATTTAACAATTTGTCATTTTTATTTAATTTAGTATTCTTCTTAACATGGTTCCATGGTCTAGTTCAGCGAGTGGTTCTCTGCTGGTTCCCATCTGGTTCCATTTTCATAGTTCGCGCCTTAGATATAAGCCCAAATACACCACCCACTGTTATTCAATTTTCTCGAAATTTGACGGTTAAAAACTATTGAAATTCCAACCAAACATTCCTTTATCTTCCCCTAGTGTGCCTATATACCGTGCATATGTGCACGCGTTCGTAAATCGAAGTTATATGCCTTACTATTTGTGAAGCCATATTTTGTATGGAGCCGACCCCGAGGTTAGATCACTGTTATGCCCTGGATTTCGGCTGACAATGCACACACACACACGCAAACTAAGTTACTGTCGAGATATTTTGGCGTTGCCACCTTTCTAAACATAACGAAGGCAATATGTATATATCAAGCAAAACATTAATTTAAAATAAAAAATTAAGTTGGCAGTCGAGAAATTGAATTCTTTTACAAATAAGTAAAGGATTTGACACCAAAATATAGGTTTCCAGGGATTGACCCGCAAACTTTATATTAACTTAGCAGGGCATTATAAAAATATGGTGAACAAATTTAAAGACAAATTTTTGTCTTTCACGAATAATTAACTGATAATTTAATTAAATTAAATTAAAGTTTAATCAAACGTTTGATATTCCAAAGATTACTTTCTTGATGTACAAATGTTTTCTTATCTTTTCGTTACAACATGGAACATTTTTTAGTGCATTTTCCAATTTTATTAATAAAAATTAAGACGGAGAATCGAAAATTGTTAAAATATCGATATTTAGATATTTTGATTACAGCGAAGCTCCCCACCCTCACTAGCAAAGTTTCCCACCGGCTCGTTTCATAAAATGTATCTACCTATCTCGCTTGCCGCTATCGCCGTCCCGCTCACGCCGCCTAAAAACCGTATGTTCCCACTCTGTCTGCCTACACTATAAATGTAACTCGCGACGGGCGAACATGGCTCCTGGTAAATTTGGAAAATTGAAAAATATAGTGCGGTCGGAGTGTGTTTGCATCAGCGTGAAGCCCAATGTTAAGTTAAAACATTGACCGCCCACGCCCACCAACGACAATAGCCGCGTTTTATAAGAATTCGCCACGCCGAGGCTGTGACCGCGTGTGTCTGTGTGCGAGAAAAATCAATGTGCGTGCGTGAGTGCGAGTGAGTGGGAAGGTGATTGTGAAGCGCTGCTTGCAAAAAAGAAATAGGCAAACGCTGCAGCAGAGCCCCTGCACGAATACAAGCGCAAATCGCCGTAGTAACGCAGCATCGATTGTACAGTTTTAGAGCAAAAACAAATCAATTAAAAAAAATGTGGGCGTCCCACAAAAGCTGACTGCTGCCGCACCGGAAAGGGAACCATTGCCAAAGGTGGGTGATATGACACTGGTTCTTATTTTAAAAATCCTTAAACATAACTCTTGAATATAGTATTTGTATAAAAACATTAATAATTTCGGTCAATTTCTTTAGGAATCTATTCGCATATACAGTTTATTCAGTGCAGCCAAGAAATTGAATTTTATAATATAAGGATTTTCAATGCAGCAATGCATTTGTTTAAGCTTTTATAAATGTACAAGCTTATCCAGCTCAGAAGGAATTCACATCACTGACAGGAAGTGGGATTCATGCACCATAGAGAGTATCACAGAAACTCGCTAATCTCTCGCGCTTTGTTCTTGGCAGCCCGTTCTAGTGCGCGTATTTTTAGTCGCAGCACATTGCTCAATTTCCTTGCCGTCCGCTATTTGTGTCGTCCATTCATTGGGCTTGGGCTCTTTTTCCGATTTCAGTGGGCGGAATGTATGGAATAATTCATCCATCCAGCGTCCGTCCACGTTGCGCGCTCGCCAAGAAAAACACAAACACAATACGATATTCAGGCGGCGGCACAGGTACAAGCAAGCACCTGTATTTATTTATGGTCCGCTGCCGTAATCGACTGCAGCTCCCTCCGACACCCCACCCCTCTCTGTCGCTCCAACTTGGGGTAGGGCACTTGAACTAGTTTCAAACGGGGGAGCTTGGCTTCAGCGTTTTTTTTTGCGTTTGCTCTTTGTGTGTGCTTTTTTTTGCTTTTCGCATTCCGTGTTTGCCAATTTTCCCCCTCAGTTCGCAACATTTGTGACTGCTGTCGTCACAGTTTGTTCGTTGAGAACATTTAAATACGCAAAGTTCACTTGCAGAACTTGACTTGGGGGCGATAACGATCATCATCATGTTGAAGATAATGATGATGATGATGATGATGCTTAAATTAAACACCTCTTCAAAGTCGTTTATCATTCGGTTTCAAGCAAACAACAGCAGCTCCCTCAATAAATTCGATCTCGATCGGGGATGCATTGTGCGAAATGTGTGTGTATGCAGGGACACCTGTCACAATATTAGCTAAATACCGTTGAAAAATATATAAATATTCAACTCTCCGGAGATCAAACACAAATATCCCGAACATCGACGAAATGTGCCAATTTCAACTAAATGAAGCGATAATACAGATGACCCAAGAAACCCAGAAAAAACACTATGAAACATTTCTCAATTCCATGAAAACAATACATAGAAATAATTAAAATATATATAAATATTGCAGTCTAAATAATTCCCGTTCTGAATTAGTAAAAAACTCAAGATACGAATATTAGGCAGAAATAAACTCTTCAAAATTCAATACTTTTTAGCATAAATTATAATTTACATATTTTATATAAAAAGAACATAAGATTAACAACAAAACAACTAATTTTACCAGGAATACATGCTTAATTGAGCACTTGATTGGCTTATCTTGAGATTGGATTCTAAACTCTAGGAAAAAAGCGCTTTTTTCATGTGAATCATGGCCATAACTTATCGGTTTATTATATATATATTTATATATAGAGGTATATAACAACAATTTATTTATACCATGGGCAATTCTCGATGAAAATAACATAAAATAAATGCCCAACTTCAATACTTTTTTCTGTACACAAGAAAACCTTCTAAAGCTAATATTATAAAAACACGCCAAGCTTGCCTCAACGAAAAACACACAAAATCGAAATACATTTGCCCCCCACTTAATCGTCATTCAAGCATATTGATGATAATGAAAAAGTGTGTGCACATATTCATGGCTTATCTTTGGTTGGAAAATGTATAAATAAATGCGCAAAGCGACCCAACAGCAGCGACACACACAATAATTGTTGAAAATCAATGATTGTGATTTGCAAAAAATCGCCTCAGTCGATGTTCATCTAATGGAAATTTAATTACTCCTCTGAGCGGAATTTTCCTGAATCCAGAGGACCATGCCAAGCCAATCATCCGATTCCCTCAGTGGGTGGGTGGGTGTTGCTAGTTGGTGGCGTCAACATGGCCGTTGACAAATCGATGTAATAGCAATAGATTGCCTTTATGGTTGGTCGGTCAGTCGGAGATACCTACATGCGACATGCCATACAAATGTTTTCATTATTATTTTGTTGATATTTATGCAACTTTGTCTGCTTCATTAATAATGGCTTGATTACTTATGGGATAAACATTGACAATAAATTTACACGTGCCTGGCAAACAACCATTGTGGCTTGCTTTGTGGCTCATTCTAAGCGTAGGTGTTGTGGTCTCCTCACCTGTGACTGTCAACTGTCTTGGTTCTTAACCGTGGTTCAGTGAACCTGTGATTTTGACGATTGCTTATCTGGCGCACACTCAACACACGAGGATGCATTGATAAGAAAACCGAAACCTGAACGCTTAGAGAGTAAAAGTACTTGTCACTCTGAAATATCGGTATTAGCGGAGGGAGAACGATCTCTAGAGCCGGTTTTTCAGTCCTCTTCAAATTAGATTTACCGTACGTTTACGTACATACGTAATACGGTTGCGCTTGTCCGGAATATACATATCGTAATGGCGTAATTTGCTCAATTGTCACGTTCTGCTCCGAGCTGTTAAGAACGCTTTAGCGGCAACACAACGAAACCATTATTCGCCATTCGCGTTGAAGTGACTCAATTTAAAAAGCCTTTTCCCCATAACCTGTCCAGGAAATCCTACCCAACCCACTGGATCCCTGCCCTGATGACGACCACGTGTCCGGTGCCCATTGGTTTTGCTTTCTGATTGTGCCGGACGCTCTGCTATATGCGGTCATTTTACAGTGCGTCACTGCCCATTAGCCCCAACAGTTAATAACAGGCTGAAGAATCTTAATCATAGGCTCTCCATTAATTGAGATCATCAGTAGTCAAGCTTTACATTAATTAAGTAATGTAGCTTGATTTAACTAGACAATAAAGCTTGTAGTTCATCAGAGAAACGATATAGGAAACGCACTGTGCTAGTTGTTGCTTTTGACAGGTTGCTATGACGTTTCCATTACAACGTTTCTGTATTATAACAAAAAGATGTACTGGTCAGTGTTAAGTGACATTATCACGATGGAAACCCTTTTATCTGCCACTGAGAACATGAAAACTAAAAATTCGAATCTTGAATTGTATTGCTAACGTTGCGTCGCTTGAAATTTTAAAATATTTTATGAAATTTCAGGGCAATTACGATAGATTTAAGAGTGAAGTATACTCGCCAAGGGGAAAGCAAATTGGATTAGATTAGATTATATTATACATGTATATTTAGCAATTTGGTATTGTAATTACATTTAACTTAACCTTTTGATTTTATTTTCAGATTAGTTACTTAGAGTAGATCGACCGATCACAAAGCGTATCACAAATAACCATTGTATAATGACATCAAGGTAAATACATCTTAATTGAGAATCAAAAGCAGCAAAATAATTTATATATTTCTTTAGACTCGACCGTCTTTTCATCTTACTTGAATCCGGCTCCACAGCGGCCACACGGCAGGCGGCCGCCAAGCAGATCGGCGAGGTCCAGAAGCTTTATCCACAAGAGCTGCATGCGTTGCTCAATCGGCTGGTGGGCTACCTCCACAGCTCGTCCTGGGAGACGCGCATTGCGGCGGCCCAGACCGTTGAGGCCATATTGAAGCAGGTGCCGCCATGGCAGCCGGAACAGCAAGTGGTTCCGAAGAAGGAGCGCTCTGGCAGCGATGCTAACACCGCTGCCGTCGAAGAGGACAGCTGCCAATCGAGTGGCTCCAGCTCCACGACGGCCAGCGAGCGTTTGCTGAGCTTCGATGAGTTCGACCTGCAGCATATTTTACATAAGGGAGCTCGCCTTATCGGCTCCGAGGGCAACGAGTTTGATGTGCAGGAAGAGCAGCCGGCCAGCGGTGGCGGAGCGGAAGAGCACAGTGTTGCCAGTCGCCTCAGTCGACAGCGGGCGGTGCTCAACGATAAACTAGGTCTAACAACAGCCGCCAAGCTGGGAGTCAATTTGACTGACATGATCACCGATGAGGATGTGGCCCTGGCGAGAAGCGGAAGCAGCTACAATATCAATGCCGAGAAAACGCCCGTGGAGCAAATCCTTAACATAAAAACAGCGTCCAATGGTTCTGGGCAGGCACAACTCAGTTGCCGGGAAATGAACAGGGCGAAGCGCAAGGCCCGGCAGAATACCACAGCCTCTGCCTCATCCGTAGTCACGCCCACATGCAGCAGGCGGAACTCAAACAGCAACCACAGTACGGGCAGCAACCACAGCAACAACGGTGGACCCACATCGGCCATATCTACGCTGGATGAACCAGAGAAGAAAAAGCTAAAGGCAACAGATCGTCAGGAAATTTTCTACAGCTTAAATGGTGAGTGGGGATTTAAGTCATTGAAGCTGCAGTTCAAGTAATTTAAGATTTTTCTTTTCTTCGCAGCTGCCGTGCCAGATGTCACAGGCACTTGGGTGGATGCCGTCTCCTGGCCATTGGAGAACTTCTGCTCGCGCCTTTTTATCGATCTCTTTCATGCCAAATGGGAGGTGCGCCATGGAGCGGCCACAGCGCTGCGGGAGCTAATCAATCAGCATGCTCAGGGAGCTGGTAAGGCGATACACCAAAGCCGGGAACAAATGGATGAAGCGCACAGTCGCTGGCTTGAGGACGCTGCTCTACGGTTGCTCTGCGTGCTATGCCTGGATCGATTCGGTGACTTTGTCTCGGATCAGGTGGTTGCGCCGGTGCGTGAGACATGCGCCCAGGTGCTAGGAACCCTGGTGAAAGAAATCGAGGCGGCAAAGGTGCAACGGATCGTAGAAATCCTTCTGAAGCTGATCCAGCACAAGAACGAATGGGAGGTGCGACACGGTGGACTGCTGGGACTGAAATATGTGTTTGTGGTGCGTGAGGAACTGCTTCCAGTCTACCTGCCGCTATCCATTAACAACATCCTCATCGGCCTGCTGGACTCCGTCGACGATGTAGGAGCCGTGGCTGCGGCCACCCTTATACCAGTGTCCTCTTGGCTGCCCAAGCTGCTAACACCGCCGCAAGTCTCCTCAATCGTTAAGATGCTGTGGGATCTGCTCTTGGACCAGGACGAGCTCACATCGGCTTGCAACAGTTTTATGGGCCTGCTGGCTGCTATTCTCTGTCTGCCAAAAGCAGCAAGTTGGGTGCAAATGGAGCCCATGGCCACGCTGGTGCCCCGTCTGTGGCCTTTTCTTTCGCACAGCACCAGCTCGGTGCGAAGGTCCACCCTGAAGACGCTCCTGACCTTAACCTCTAGCCACGATAAAGTGAAAATGGAACCTAAGAAGGAGGAAGACGAAATTAAGGATCAGGTCAATGCGGATCAAAAGATAATGAAGCTTAACTTTGGAGTTGGCGATTGGAAATGGGAGTTATTACAGCAGGCGCTCCGTCATATATATCAACGCATTCTGGTGGAGCCACACGCGGATATCCAGGCTCTGGCTCGTCAAGTTTGGACCAATCTTATTGAGCATGCGGATCTTGGCGCTCTTCTGCATGCTGCCTGCCCGTACGTCTCCTCCTGGATTTGCCTTTCCATGCAGCCGCCCAGACTTGCCTTCGACCCGGGAGTGCTGATCAAGGCTGGAGGAGATCCAAGTTCCTCGAGGAAACGAACGTCCCGCATTGGAGACGACTTGGGTGGTGCCACTTTGGCCCACTCTAATGCCACCCTCAAGTTGTATTTGGGCGGAAGCGAGGCAACACCCTTGGAGGTGCGAGAAGCGAACTTTATGCGGGCGCGGATCTCCTCATCGCGGGCACTGGGTGCTCTCTCCCATTACCTAGTGCAGCCGGCTCCCGGAGTGGTGTACACGCCACAAACTGAGAGTCCCACAGACTGCTATACCAAGGTGCTGTTGGGTCATCTCAATGCCCACTCGGCTGTCCAGAGGATAGTGTGCGGTCTGATTATTGCATTTTGGGCACTGGAAGATGAGCCAGTGCGTCCAGGACCGCCTAACCTCCAGGAGAAGCTGCACCAGTGTGTGAGCGAATACGTATACTACGATGAAGTGGCCGTATCGCTGACCCGATTGCTGCAGGAGGCACAGGACTTCATAGCCACGCTCAAGCAGAACAAGATCCCGATCAATGACTTCAACAACGCCAAGATATTGACCCTGGAGCAGATTGAAGCAGTGGCTACTACGCTGACCGAAAACCTACGCATCTATCCCCTCAAACCCAAGTTGCTGGACATGTTAGAGGAGCGACGCCGCAGCCTGTATGCGTCATACCAGCAGACAACCACCGAGCAGAGTGCCTACCACGTCAGTGCGCAGGCAGCACTAGCTGGAGCTATCTGTGCCCTGCACTGCCTGCCCGAGAAGCTGAATCCAGTGGTGAAGCCACTGATGGAGTCCATCAAACGGGAGCAGTGTCTACAGCTGCAGCAGCTTTCGGCAGAGTTCCTGGTCCATCTGATGGATCAGGTTTGTGATAGAAATCCTAGTCCAAACAACAAGATCTTGGGAAACCTCTGCACCCTACTAAGGAGCGATGCCGAGCATACGCCCATGCTGGTAATGCCGCTCCAGACACTACAGCAGACGACGCCTTCGCCGGGGGTCACCAACTCTTGTGTCTACTACGGCATTCTGACTCTGGCCCTGCAACAGGCAGTGGCAACCACCAGTTCTCGAGGCGGAGGAAGCGGAACTGGAGGCGGAGCCGCAACACCAACTGCCCCCACACCTGGCCGTGGTCCCGGACGACCGCCTGCAGGCGAGGTTCTAGCCACAGCAATTATCGCTGCTTCCAGCATTGAGTTGAAGCAAGCCCAGCAAGCCAAGGAGGCAGAGGCCAGGCAGTGTCGCATCCAACGGTTGGGAGCCACCTGCGCAATTGAGAAGCTGTGCAGCACCTTCGGCGAGCACATAGTGGAAAAGGTGACCGTTTTTAAGCAGCTGATGTTCGGAAAGGTGCCGCAGTTTGTGCAGGAAATGGACGAATGGCGGTTGGCCAATACTCTACCGGAGCTGGGAGCCTGCAACGAGCTGATCACCTCCCTCCAGTTGATTGAGACAGCCGCCCCGCATCTGCATGCCGCCCTGCACTCCCAGATGTTCGACCTACTGTCGCCGCTTGGACACATTGTTCGGCATCCCCTTAAAGCGGTTCGCCACATGGCCGCCCGATGCGTTGCCGCTCTGGCGGATATCGACGCCTGTATGACAATGCAGTTTGTGGTGCAGGACATGGTGCCGCAGCTGGGGAAGATCGAGTATCTGATTGACCGGCAGGGAGCAATGGAGGCCATCGAACGGGTGGTCAGTCGCCTGCAGATCAAAGTGGTGCCGTACATCGTGCTGCTTGTGGTGCCCCTGCTAGGAGCCATGAGTGATCCAGATGAGTCAGTGCGACTGTTGGCCACCCACTGTTTTGCCAATCTTGTCCAGCTAATGCCGTTGGACGGCAAGGCGGAGCAGCTGAAGAGCGAGCCACTGCAGGCGCGAAAAACGCGTGACCGCGAATTCCTAGACTATCTGTTCAATCCAAAGAGCATTCCCGACTACCAAGTCCCAGTGCCGATCAGCGTGGATCTACGCTGCTACCAGCAGGCGGGCATCAACTGGCTGTGGTTCCTTAACAAGTACAATTTGCACGGCATTCTCTGCGACGACATGGGTCTGGGCAAGACCCTACAGACCATTTGCATCCTGGCCGGCGATCATCTGCACCGCCAGGCAACCAAGCAGGCCAATCTGCCCAGTTTGGTCATCTGCCCGCCAACCCTTACAGGTCATTGGGTGTACGAGGTGGAGAAGTTCCTCACGCAAAACTCTGTCCTGCGCCCACTGCACTACTTTGGATTCCCGGTGGGCAGGGAGAAGCTAAGGAGCGAGATTGGAACAAGCTGCAACCTCGTGGTGGCCTCCTACGACACGGTTCGCAAGGACATTGAGTTCTTCAGCAACATTCACTTCAACTACTGTGTCTTGGACGAAGGTCATATCATCAAGAACGGCAAGACCAAAAGCTCCAAGGCCATCAAGTTGCTGAAGGCCAACCACAGATTAATACTCTCCGGCACACCCATCCAGAACAACGTTCTGGAGCTATGGTCTCTATTCGACTTCCTCATGCCGGGCTTCCTCGGCACCGAAAAGCAGTTCATACAACGCTTCTCCCGCCCCATTCTGGCCTCGCGGGACGCCAAGAGTTCGGCCAAGGAACAGGAGGCCGGGGTGCTGGCCATGGAGGCGCTTCATCGCCAGGTTTTGCCCTTCTTGCTGCGCCGCGTCAAAGAGGATGTGCTCAAGGACCTGCCGCCGAAAATCACTCAGGACCTGCTCTGCGAATTGAGTCCGCTCCAGCTGCGCCTCTACGAAGACTTTAGTAATAAGCATCTGAAAGACTGTTTGGACAAACTGGGCGACTCGTCGTCGCCGGCGAGGGTGACGGAGAATCTCAGCTCCCAGACTCACATCTTCCAGGCACTGCGCTACCTACAGAACGTGTGCAACCATCCCAAGCTGGTGCTACGGCAGTCCGAGGAGCTCACCCAGGTGGCCGCTCAGCTGGCACTGGGCAACAGCTCACTGGACGACATAGAACATTCGGCTAAGCTGCCTGCACTCAAGTGAGTCTACATGTCAAAGTTTATGTGTATTTCATTATTCTAATGCATTTATTTCCCGTATTTTCTGCAGGCAACTCCTTCTCGACTGCGGCATTGGTGTACAGACAGAGTCAGTCAGTCAGCATAGGGCACTCATCTTCTGTCAGTTAAAAGCGATGCTGGATATTGTGGAGCACGATCTGTTGCGACGGCACTTGCCCAGCGTCACATACCTGCGGTTGGATGGCAGCGTGCCAGCCTCCCAGCGCCAGGACATTGTCAACAACTTTAACAGCGACCCCAGCATCGATGTCCTGCTCCTGACCACACTGGTGCGTAATCTAGTAATCATCTTGTTTGAGAGCTATATCTTTACTGTTTTATTTTGCAGGTTGGTGGACTGGGTCTAAATCTAACCGGAGCCGATACGGTCATATTTGTGGAGCATGACTGGAATCCCATGAAGGATCTACAGGCCATGGACCGTGCCCATCGCATTGGCCAGAAGAAGGTGGTTAATGTCTATCGGTTAATAACGCGTAACTCGCTCGAGGAGAAGATCATGGGGCTGCAAAAGTTCAAGCTACTCACCGCCAACACGGTGGTGAGTGCGGAGAATGCCTCACTCCAGACCATGGGCACCTCGCAGATCTTTGACCTCTTCAACGGCGGCAAGGATAACGCTGCCAAGGCGCAGGGAGCAACTGTATCCGGATCAACCAGCGTGTCCATGAACACCATTATCGAGAACTTGCCGGAGCTGTGGTCCGAGCAGCAATACGATGAGGAATACGATCTGGGCAATTTTGTGCAGGCACTAAAAAAGTAGAGACGACCGCTTCCCACTCCAAGACTTCCAGTAAAAAGTTCTCTTCTAGGGTACTTTGAATAGCTAAAATGCCAGCCGAATATCTTTATTTTTCGGCAGCATTTTGGGATGTCTTTTTTTTTCTTTTGTTCCTTTGTAATCGCAAAACAGGAAAGTTTAGAAATAAATAATAAAATAAAATTGTAAAACTAAAATGATGTTTTATTACTCATACGCAGTGTTGCAAACTTTTCTTCAGAGAGAAGTAAAGCTAATTTTCTTAGATCATATGTTGAAATCTGAACCGTTTCTAATTATTTATTAACTTTAATAGAAACAATTCTTTCTGCAAAGTTTTATCTGAATAACCATACATGTAATAAGACTAGTTTTAGTAGAAAAGGTCAGACTGGCATGCCTAGATAGATTCGGCTGTTTAGTCATAGAAGAATATGTATGCCTTATGATTCTATGATTTTAATAGAGCTTAGTCATATGTTAAATAATATAATATTATCTCTAATAACTTTATTTTTATTAAGGGAATCAAGTTTTTAATATACGAACCGTCCAACCTACCGAGCGAAAAAGTGCTGCATAGTTTTGGGCGAAAATAGGAAAAATGGTTGCTTTACAGTAGCCATTGGATTTATGGTTCCATTATTATGGAAACATTTTTATAGGGCTTCTTTAATGTATTAAATTTGCCTTTATATTTCAAATTTGAAGTACAAAGCCGGTATAGAGTGGAAACTTTGAAGCATAATTCTTATCATGGTAAATGCAAGTGTTTGGCAAACAGATTTAATATTTGTCAGCAAATATATTTTCTCATTTCCCAGAATAGGGCGCCTATCATTTGTTTGTCTCTCTTACTACGTGATTTCATTGCTAATGGCCCGTGAATATGCACTCTCTAATGTCACAACTTATCTGATCAGTTGAGTTCGATTCTGTGTTTCATTTATCGGTGGCACTGTTTGCTCTGACCCAAGCACCTTGAATTTGATGGGGCTATCAACCATTACGGGTGCCTTCAGTTAGTAAATGAAGTCGAACTCTTACCGCACAGCATCCACAATTTAGGTTTCAATTTCTGTAGTTTTGTATATATATTTTTTTGTATAAATCCCGGCTTATCTCTGGGCCGTCACGATGATGTGGCTTCGGACTATTTCATATAGCTCAAATCCATATTATTTATGTCTATGCGGGGCGTTAAACGCGACCCGTTCGTAATGGAGCCTGTTTTTCAATTTTCCTATAGCATTCAAGATTCCTGTACGCCTAAGTTGGATGCTGTATGCTTGGTCCAGGACTGGCTTATCTCGCCACTATCGTTATGCCCGTTTCCCCCTTTTTTGTTTTTTAAATATATATGAATTCCTTTTAAATGGCCCTTAATATGGTGTATTTAAATGCTCAGCTCAGCTTAAACAAAACAAAAGCAAAGCCAAACCAAAGTCAAAGGCAGATAAGCCACAATATTAATTCTGTTGCCTCTCATACACTGAACAAATAACCAGGAAAATACAAACAAAAGATTATAAATAATTTTTACTATACATAAGCACAATAAATATTATACAAAAAATATATGATTTAAAATTAAGATAATTTAATGTGGGTTTTAAATGAAGTCAAAGATTGGTAAAAAATAATGTCTGATACATTTTTATTTATTTAAGATTAGTGTTACTTAGTTTACATGTTTCTTCGTTTATATAGATATATTTATTTGGAACTTCAATTTTGAGATAGATCTTCTTAGATCTTACCGAAATTTATAAAAAGCATAATATTTAAATTTAAATATTAAATAGTTTCTGTAGAGATATCAATACGATATAAAATTCTAGATAATTTCCTGATTTATGTTACTAACATATATCCCTGTATTTATTTTAATCTATATATTCTTTATATTATATAGAATATATATAGAATATAATATATAATATTTAATTACTTATGTTATTGTTGTATCTGCAATAGTTTACTGAAATCCGATCGAACTTCTCTTAGTGCATTTGCTGTGGTGTTTTTATCTTTTGACCAAAAGGCATCTTCCGGACTTTGCTACTGCTTCGGCTGATAACCAGAAACCATAACCAACACCCGCACCCTTGCATCTTTATCGCTCGGCGTCCTCATCCTCCTGCCCTGGCTGACCCCTCCCCGCATGCGCGACCCGCAGCACTCCAGGGTCAGCCCCTCCTCCGGCCAGGGTCGGATCTGGGCTGGGATTAGGGGATCGGGGATCTGGCTCAGTGGACGATGGACGGCGCCGGCTTAAAGTTTTCCACCAGGTTGTTTACCTCCTTATCGCACCAGCATTGTTCTCATACTCGCTTGTGATTCGTTCGGTTTTTATCAATGTTGCTGTTTGCAATATGTTTGTTCTCTGTTTTTTTGTTTTTTTTTTAAATTTTTTTCTTTTGCTGATAATTGTGTCGCTTATCAATTCTCGTGACGTCACAAGAACCGGCATTTTGTTATTTGATAGGAATTTCTTGACACTTTTTTTATCGTTGTTTTTCTTTTTTGGAACTTGCTTACTTTGTATTTTTTTTTAACCCAACCAGACAGTTTGGCGTTTCTCCTGGTGGAATTTTTGTTTATACTTTGTTGTTGTTGTCGCACTTTATCGCTGGGGGAGTGGGCCAGAAACAGGAGTGCGATAGACGAGGCAAGGTCGTTTACTTGGCTTAGTTATCAGTATTATGAAGGGGTAACGGGGATTCACAGAGTCCCAGACAGACATACTAAACAGGGGTGGGTTATTTTTGTAGGCTATCTTAACCTTCTGACTTTTATCTTAAACACTAAATTAGTACTAAGATGTAAAGAAATAGTTCAATGGGTCGAATGGTAAATCTATCATAACTAAGCCAAAAATTCATTAATTTCAATTCGGAAAACGTTTTTATGTTAGTATTTATTAGGTTAACAAACCTGCATACAGAGTTTTTAAATTTTAGACAATCAAAATTTTGTTAACATTTGAAAATTTTAACGATGTAACCTCTTATAAATTTTTGAAAAAATTGATAAAATTTGTTTTCCTTCAAACATGGCTTGATCGATTCAGCTGTTGATTCTGATCAAGAATATATATGGTTTATAGGGTCGGAAATGATTCCTTCCCTGAGTTGTAAGCTACAAATTTACTCCGAATTTTGCTAAGTTATATATGAATTTATGTTAATTAGGATTTTTGGATTTTACACATAATCTTACTAAATAACCCTTAAAATATCAAACTTCTTCCTAGTGGTTATTAAGATCTTAGCATTGAGTAATAACGCCTTGGAGTTGCGGAATATTACTTGCTTTTAGAGACCTAATTTTATTTCCATAAAATTATTAATAAAGCTGTTTAGTTAATTTTTATTAAATTTTTTGACTAATTTATAAAATGTTATTTTAATCTATAAGTCTAACTAAGCATTATATTTCTTTTAACAGATTCTGATCTGAGTATATGATGGATCTTGAGCCTTGCTTTAGGCTATGCACAAAGCGTTTCTAAAGAGATTGTGAAACTATTCAAATAATAACACAAAGCAAAACCCTAAGATCCTACTATCTTCAACATAATTATAGTTTCATAAATAGCTTATAGATTTTATGTTAAAGTTCCTAGTATACTCCTTGCTAAAGACCCATCTTATTCCCAATAGCAACGATTAAGAGGAGCCTGTCAGTCGGAGCGATAGTGGCAATCGGTTGGGATTTGTCGTCACCAAATCAAAATCTGGCCAAACGTGCACGGGAGCGTTGATAGGGATCCAATGAGGCGTCCGCCTGGCGGCATATACTCCGGCTGGGGCGGAGAGTTCCATGGGTGCTCCGATAAGGATAGTCGCGCGACTGGCGCGTGATGCAACTTAATCAAATCGGGCCTTGGTATCGCCTGTGTAGTAGCCTGTGCCCGTCCCACTTGCTCTATCTTTGGCGCAATCCTGCCCTGCTCCCTGCTCTGGGGATGGCGTCGATGGGGCTGCGGCTTGCCGGTCTCAGAACCGGACCCGGCTCAGATAGCCATATCTTGGCAACGGGGCCCGGCCAATCAGCGGCCAAACTACGCCAAAGTGCAAGTACACGGGGAGCAATGAGTAGTACCGATGGTTGCGTTGCCGATAATAAGTACAATCGTTACTTTGCTGTTGTCGTTGCTGATGTGTAATTGTTGCTGCTGTTCTTCTTGTTGTTGCGTTTTTGAAAAGGTGATATGAAATGTGCTCTGATAAGTTTTAATCAAGAATATTTTACTCGCATATTGCTTTGGGTGGCTCCGGGCCCGGACCGAGTAGCATTTGAAAAGTTGTAGTAGTAGGTCGGAGCTCGGATGTGGATGCGGGTCCAGTCGAGTCCGTTCCGAAGCGGTGCGGTATCCGTGGGGCGTGGCCGGCAATAATCACAGTGATCTCTCGGAATCTCAATCTCTCGCTGGGCGTGAAACCAAAGAAAATCCAACTGTGAAGGAAAAAAATGAAATGAATCGGAAAAGCGGTAGGAAAGTTGCGCCGGCGCATGGAAAATCCTTTAAATGTGTTTACCCACCAAAAGCGACGTGAGTTTAACCAACACAATGGGTTGATAGATGGGCCAAGCCGGGCGCCCGGGAAGTTCCCCGTTTCCGTTCCCGTTCCCGGAGCGGTCTCACCGCCCCCGAAAGAGTTGTGATCCGTCGGCGTGACCTGTGTGACACTTTCATTTGGCCGGTTAACGCCCACTTGAGGTCGAAATTGAAAATTTAACGGATGCTTAGTGCCGCGGCCAGATGCCTCGGCCTCCGAGCCGGATTTCGGTCATCATTGCGGTAAGCCACATGTGCCGAACGCCCCTCATAATGAGCACAGCGGAATCTCAGTCGCTCTCGGAATATGGAATAGGGAATCCGGGCAGCTCCCATGTGGACCAGTAAGTAACATCTCAATGTAAGTTCCCAAGAGTTGCATAAATCACCATTGGGATTGATTTCTTTTCATTTTAAATGTCATAACTTTATAAACATAATACTTAAAATTAAAGAAAAATCTATAAATGTGACATTATTTTAGGCAGATTATATTTATATACCATCTATATTTAATGAGTGTTCCTATTACCAAGTATTATCATTTGGAAACCATAAAGTTGTATAATTGTATGTGAATTAAAACACAAGCCCACTTAAGGCCCACTTAAAGACAAACATAACTATAAAAGAAATAATTGGAACTCTCAAAGAAGGACAAGATCTAGTTGTTTTTTGTTTAGTTTAAAGACTATCCTATATTTGTTGTTATCATAGAAATTCTAAATAGTTGGCTCCTAAAGATACATATTTTAAATCTAATTGATGTACTTAAACTTGTCTCTTTTTGTGTTAAATGTTTTATGCATTGTTTAATACAAATTTAAAATGTAAAAAACTAACTCAGACCTCAAGCTTTGTAAACCCAAACTTTCCCAAACCGTACTTAGCCTTTCGTAACTATTCGATATCTTTGGAAAAACCATGAAACACTAGCCATGGAAATGAAAAAGGAAAACTGGTGGGGACAGCCAAGGAAGAGCTGGAAAAATTATGACGATTACATGAAACCAGCATGACGATCAACGAACCCAAAAAGCACAAAACTCTGGGTCTGGGCCCCGTCCATTCCTCCGTCCAAAGGGGGCGGGGGCAATGCCTCCGGGCTCCAGGCAGTGTCACCCAACAAGTGCCCCATACATACACACACCATATACCATTTAAAATGCGACCATGTATGGTGTTATATAGAGCGCTGGCAGTGTGTACGAACATTACTTGTGCCCATAACAGAAAAACAAAATGCGAGTCAAATGCTGGGGCCCCGATCCCCGATTCCCGATCCCCAATCCCCACTGTCCACTGCCCTCCACTCCTTGGTGGCTACATTTTGCCTGTGCGGTCGTTGAGTTGCGACGACGACGACGACGACAACAACGCCAGCCTTATCAACCAGCCCCTACAACACACACACATAATATATGGGGGAAAAATAAAAAGAAATACTTATTGAAGAAAATAAGCGTTTGCGAAGAGAATTTCAAAACAAAAGAAATAAATGTAGTGGGGCCTTTATACTATATATAAATTCATACTTATGCACACACCCATGACTTCCTGCCATAGGTCAGCCATATTGGAAATTAATTATATATACGAAAAAAAAATGTATATAATATATGCAAGTTAATTGTCGCATTTAGCAACCGACAATTGCCTTTTGTTGTTCAGACTGGTGATTTTCCAGGGAATCCAGCCTTTAGATCCTCCCTCCCAGCTCCTCCTCTTGGAACTCCACCTGGGACACGTGCATCTCTACGTGGCGAAATGCATCCGCAAACAGGCGAGGTTTGTTTTTGGGTACCATGGAGCAGAAGGAAGAGGAAACCGCGACCAAACACCGCAAAACCGAAACCAAAACCAAGAACAAACAACCGACAGTGACAGACAGTCACATACATTAAACATTAACAAAACACCAAGAGAGCCAAGTAGAAATTGTAGTATAAAAGGAATTTTGTGAAATTCCGAAACGCAAACATAATGCACGGTAAACAACAATCGGCCAAAGACAAGATACAAGATACAAGACACTTGTGTTTGTCTTAATCGTTAATTGCTCTGGTCATGTCCCGGGTACCCAGTACCCAGTACCCAGTACCCAGTCCCTGTTCCAGTTCCATTCCCTCTGCACACATCCATGCATCCAGCCAGAGAGTGCGCCAAAGTCTAGGAAAAACCGCACCTACTCCATATAAACATTGCCTAGAGTATGTGCACAGGGCGGAGGATGAGCGGTATCAGCGCGTGTCTCTTAACTGGGTCTTCACCGAGTACCTGTTGCCGTTGAGTACCTGGTTTACCTGTCCACCTTCGACGTAATGTGTGTTTGACAGGATATGCCCAGGCCCAATCCCAGTTCCTCGTTGGCATAGCCAGTTCCAGCCATAGACCCAGACCCATTCCCAGTCCTAGTCCCAGTCCCAGTCCCGTGCCCCGTCACCATTTCCGACTTGCATTGTTCTACACTGTGGAACTTTAATTGCCCAACCTTACTTTCACTGTCCGCATTTGTTTGCCGCATAAAAATTAATGAGTTTAGGACTCGATGACCGGTGCCCGGTGTCCCTCCCGGCTTCCATTCATAAATTTCGGGTTTCGGCTGGGAAATTCCCGACTGCTGATTCATTTGCCATTCTTTTCATGAATGGGAATGCTATTTTTTCATCTATTTTGGATTGGTTTTTAATGGGGAAAGTCCATTTGCCTGATTGATAAATTCCCAGCGGTGGCAGTCTATCCTTGTGGATATAGGATACGGGTTATTAAACCCTTCATCTGGGCTGCTTCCAAAGAGTTATTTATATGTTCTTTATAGAAGATCTGTGAAGAATCATATTAGTATTACAACAAACATGAAAGTTGCAATTTACAATTGAATCGGAAATCGATCATATCTAAGTTTATAGTACTCCCATTCTTTGAATCAATATTTTTATGTGACAATATTTTGGACATATCAAATTTTTAAAAACTCATTACTTAGTCAAAAAGCGTTAATTTAAATTAGGAAAGCAGCTAAGTGTTAGTTTTTATTATGTTAAAAAACCTGTAAGATCAATTTGAAATTTAAAAACAAATAAAAACTTTGTACATTTTTGACAATTTTAACGATGTAACCCCTTATAGAATTTTTAAATTTTGAAAAATTTTCAAAAATTAACTTTTTGACCAGACATGGCTAGAATGATTCGGCTGTTGATGCTGATCAAGAATATATATGATTTATAGGGTCGAAAATGACTCCTTCACATCGTAACATGATGCCGACTTAAATTAAAATGCCCTGCAAGGGTATTAAAAGAAAGCCTTAATTTATAAATAAAACAATATATTTTAAGGTCCAACAGTTTTAAATCATAATTTCCTATAAAATTCCTTCCTCCATGATTGAAGACCCTCCCTGTGGCGAATGTCATCACTTTGGCGAACCATTTTAAAATCATCAAAGAGACAGGATGAATTATTTTTTAAGTGGACGCCCTAATTAGAAAGCGCCAGCGCCAGGTACGTGACAAAGGTCGAGGATAAAGACAGAAAGTAAAAACATATTTTCCAAAAAAAATTATATAATCCAACAAAGGATGGGATAACAATATTGTCCCTGACATGGCCAGCAAAAACATATTCATAAGCGTCTTGTTGTTTATTTGCTGAGAGCGAAGGGACCGCCGAACCCTAGTGAGGACAAGATGCGGCAACCATCATAACAATAACAACATCCTTTGAGAGTGTCGTCCTTTTCCTTGATCACGATCAATTTGTATCGTGTCGGCGCGTGTTTCCATTTTGTCCTTGTTTACCTTTTTCCACCACAAACCGTCCTACCTGTGGTGGGATGCGATGATGATGAGAGATATATCTTCTACCTGAGCGGACACACGGGGCAAATGGCAGCCGTCTGCGGCTTAGCCGGGCCGATTAGCACTGATCAGTGCGGCTTAATCGTGGCTTCTTGACAGTTTCCAATATAAAGTCTATTTAAATAGGTTCAGTTGTCATTCGGTTTGTTTATCCTGGTGGTGGGAAAAAACTTTTCAGGCTCGCAGGAAATGTGCTGGAAATATGTTCTTACCGGTATGGTTGCATCAAATACTCCTTGACCATATTACTTAATGATGGCCAAAGTGTTTATTCAGTTAATTCAGCCGCATGTGCCAGAGTTTGCTTAACCAATTAGTTGAGAAAATCGTGTAAAATTAAAGAACTCTGTCATCATGAAGGACATATGGCCAGCATGGGTTTCCTTATTCCTGAAAGATGGTTTCTTATTTGTATTTGCTTAAAATTTTTGCTTACTTTGACAACAAACATATCAGATCAGATTTGTTAAATAAGAAGATAGTTATAATTAACCCTAGTATCTAATAAATGTTGAGGTTTTAATTCTTTAGTTTGAATAAACACGTATTACTTGCATCTACATAAAAACTTGCACTTACTTTCCAAAAAATCATTTTTAAAGAAACTATTAAATCTTCTGAGAAATTAAAGCAATTAAACTTGAATAAATGTAGTCTCATAAATACACTCTTCTCTCCACGAGCAGGTTCCGCAGATAAAGCAAAACAATTGACTTTGTTATCGCTGTATTTAAAGAGTGTTAAAGACATGTTCTCAATGGCTTTTAAATGGGTTTTGATAAGAGACCAAAACTCTTTGGCAGACCGCAGGCCACTTGAATTGTATGCCGATGTCTCTCCAGTTTATGGCAAGCATTTTATTCGAATTCCTACCACATAACGATGCTGATAATTGGCGCTTAAGGACTCTATCCAAGGTTTAAGGATAAGGCACTCACTCTGCCTGCCATGAAATGGATCCGAGGCGTATTGAATTACCAGGGTAATATTTATGATCGCGATGTACACGAAAATATTAAAAATGCATAAATACATCGGCACCGAGACCATCCTTGATATGTGAGACACTGCTCGCCGCAGTTGACACTTGCTTGTTTGAGCTGGGCAACACAACCCATTTTCGTGGACTATAAATATGTCAAAATAATTTCAAGCCAAACTTTGTACCACGGAAAACACTCCGGCTCGTGTGTACTTGATCGTTTTGGTTTGGTCTGGTCTCGTGGGATATACAAATACTATATATGATCCCTGTTTGAATTTTCCCTGAGCGGTTTTTAGTAATGCTTTGGGTACTTTTCCATCTATACATCTCCATATATAAAACTTATTAAACGACTTTTCGCCATAAACACATTGGGCATTCGATATGTTTGGCCTGGAGTTCCCCCTTGACAAAAAACCGGAGAGCTCCGCCACGGACCATTGACATTCGGAGATCGAGTGTGAAACAGGGCACCTCCTTGCCCGCAGACCCACAAGATTATCCTTTTTTATGAGGACTTGTAATAAATCACATCATTAGCATAGCATCGCCATGGCTGGCCGCATGATTTATAGGTTCGGGATAGGTCTACGAGAGATACTCTTGTTTGTTGACACTCGGCTCCTCCAAATCCAAGCCACACACACGGATCCGTACCCTCTGTTCTTCAGAATTCCAAACCCGGCATGGGCACTCAGCCCTGACTCACATTATGAGGCGTATTCCACTATTCTAGTTGGGGTTTTTTGAGGCCGCTTACCGTTATTTGCATATGTACTCAATGCATTTCGTTTATAGAGTCGCAACTTATCAGACTTAACTAAGCATAACATAGCCAGCTTGGGGTAACAGAAGGAACAAAGAGTGGGTTTTGCTGGGCTTTACAAGAAGGTGGAGTCAAGCCAAGTGTGAGAAAGTTTCTATTTTCTAATAATAATACTAACATTGTTTAGGTTACGCTTAACAAGGCAGAAGAATATTGTAGAGAACACATATTTCTCAAAGAGCATTGCCTACTTATTGGCGCATAGCCTTAGGGCACAGTCAAAAGATAAACAGAATAAATTCTCTTAAGGAGAATATCTTTTACTGATCAATGTGTACTTCGGGGGAGAAAAAAATATTATAAAATACTAAGCCATGATCCTTTTAGCACTATCTATTTAGTAATATAGTTGTTTTCTCAAGTTAAGATAATACTCTGACTCTTTGTTATATCTTCAACAAATACCTTCAAATGTTTCTTACGTAAATTATAGAAATTGTTAATTCCCGATTCAATAAAATAAATGGAAATTGGTGTATTTCGTGTTATTTTTAGGTGATGGACATGCGCGAATCGCATGTTTTACTGGGTCGAGCACCCTTGTGACGTCCATGCAAGTTTTTCAAGCTTAGCATTTATTAAATTGAAGGTCAAAGTTCCCCATGGAGCCGAGACACATGCAACAGACGAGCTGAAATGGAACATTTTTAAATACTTGATTTATTAAAGCAAAAAAAAAAAACAAAATTAAAATTTTTTCGTTCCCGTTCCGAGAATGTTGTTGAGGCAACTGAAATCGAATAGAAATAATTGTAGAGGAATTAATGAAATAAAAATTCTATATGTGTAAGTGGCGAGGCGTCAACCTCAGTCCCCATGTGTCTAGGGAAAGGTCCGGTCTAGTCCCCCCACTTCAGTGCGCCGCTGAAGCGATCCCAAGAGCACGTTATCAGCTCGATTTTTCGAATATTTAATAACATACACTTATTTGGTTTTAATGGCCACAAAGGTTATGCGATCTATGTCTATGTACGAGAACGCATGTCAAGATGTGTACTATATTTATGTCCGCCGGCGTGTTCTATTCGAATTCGTATTCTGATTTGTTTTGGAGCCGCCACGACCCACTTGAGAGTCGCCTACTTTTTTCCAATTGACCAGCGATCGTTAAAATCGTAAAAATGTTCTCAAAATGTCCAAACAGATCGTTGGTGCCGCCTATTCAAATGACGATAAAAATGCCATAAAATCACCGAGCGAACCTCCCCAGATTCCACTCGAAAATCGTTTTACGACTCCTGGTCCTGGTTCAACTATAACAATTTTTTAATCCAGCCATTAGGAGCTCATCTCAAGTTCGTAATTTTACGATCTTCTTTTAATATATTTTTTTTTGGCGTGTCGCCCCGGGAATTTTGCAATAGAAAACGGTGCCACTGAGATCCAAAGTCGAGACCAAGTCTAGGGTCTCGGAGAAAGGCCTTTCCCTTTGGATTTTTCTCACGGCGCGGCTCCAGCGATCACTTGTCTTGCCCCGAGAAATGTCCTTTGGCCCGGTCCTGAAATTCTACACGCGTCTCGTATGGATTTTAATGTTCGCGTCCTCGTGATAGGCATGAAAGTGTTCCTTGGGTTCCTTGGCTCCCCTCCATCCTGCACGCATGTTATTTTAAAATTTAAAGAAATTTCATATTGGTTTCTGGGTCCGTTTCACTCATAACTCGATCTGATTTATGCGTAGATTTCACATTCGATTAGTAGGAATTACTGTAAAGAGGGGTTATTGTCCACAACGAAAGTAATCGGGAAAGGGATTGATTAATCTTGCTTAATCAACTATAACTTAGTATAACAAAACAGAGCTGCGCACTTCATGACCCCCAGGTCACCGAGTCATTGGGGTTTTCACTCAAATAGCAAACGAAGCTGTTCGGAAAGCCAAAAACAGGCCTAAAGGATCGCTGGTCAGCAGAACTTTTTGAAAAAGCTGAAATCTAATTAATTGATAAGAATTAAACGGAGTGAATTTTTATATTCACGAATTTATTAAGACTATATTTCCAAGGTATGTCTTTTTTGTTCGATTTTAAAAAGGTACCAAAACTAGGTGATATTAAAAATTAATAATTATTTAAAGTTTTGACAAATTACATATTTTGTTATAATTTATGTATATAAATAACTATAAAAGATACGGAAAGATTTGTTAATAACAAATTTTTAAATAATTCAAGAGATACAAACATACCTAAAAGATAACTTCTTTTAAGTAATCTTCAAGATTTTTGTGTATTGAGTGTTTTTTCCTAATATTTATAATTATTATATACCCTACAGTAATTGCTTTTTTCTAGCTTGATACAATATTCTAGAATTTCGCACTCATATTCCGGTATTTAAAGAATGTTTTTCAGCTTGATGATCTCATGCCGAATTCCATTCGACACCTCTCTAGCTTCCTAATTATTTTTAATGTAGATTTGAGGCTAATATATGTCTTGACATTTTAGTAGTTTGTTTAATTGTGTTTCCATTTGTACATTTAATATTTTCCAGATTTGTGTGCACGAGTTTTTGCGGTCGGACTATGGCAACTGTCAGCCAACCACAACAACAGCGGGCACAACAACACCAATCGAGCAACAGTTGAGGCCGCAACAACAACCATCCGGCATGGCCTCTGGGTTCGGCCTGCCCCCGCCTGTCCGCCCCTTCCTGGCCAGCGCTTGTGTTGTTGTTGCTGTGTGTTGAGAGGCGTAGCTAAAAACTGGCAACCAAAGCCGAGTGACACTAGCGAGAACGAGAGGCAGCGAGCACCCGTAGGCAAAGGCAATGCGTGCGATAAGGTTGGCAACAGCCAGACGCAGGCCCAGAGGGAGAGTGCACTCAGAGTGAGAATAAGAGTGGGGAGAGTCCCCAAAAAGAGGGAGAGCTTTGGAGACTGGGAGAGCTTCCAGCATTTGAAGCTGTACATGATGATTATGATTGTGAGTGGCGCTTGTGTAACGGCATGTGGAGCACAACAACTGTAATCGCATGAATGGGGAGAGCGGGAGAGGATGCGCACTGGGATTTTGTTCTCGTTTGCTGTGCAGTGCGGGAATCTAAAAAACATTTTTTTTACGATTTTATTATATTTTGTTGTTCCGTATTTCGAAATTTAAAGCGCACGCCGCCGCCGCTCTCGTCGATCACTCAAATCAAATCGTTTTCAGTTTGTGTAAAAAACGCGCCGGACACGGACACGTACGTGGATTGCGGCGGACAATCCCGGAGAATCGATCGAATCGTAATCGAAGTCGGCATCGAAGTAAAGTGCACCTAACTGGGTGGCTCGCGTATTGCCAGCGGCTTGGAAATATGACCAAGACCAGCAAGCCCAAGGACAAGGGGCCCAAAGCGGGGGTCAATCTTCTGAAGAAGGCGGCCGACATGAAGATCCTCACGGCCAAGTCCAACAATAACAACAAGCAGCAGCAGCAGCAGCAGCAGCAGCAACAGCAACAGCAGCAACAGGCCAAGCAGCAAGGACGAACAACAACAACAGCAACTGCTATGGCAGCAGGATCAAGCGCAGGCGCGAAAGAGACGGCACTTGCGATCGCAACGGAGCCTCAGCCTGAGGCAGCGACGCCGGCAGCAGCAATGGCAGCGACGCAGGCAGAGCCACAGGCAGAGTCACCAGCAACGACGACGACGGCGACGACGGCGAATTTATCGTTACTTGAGTCCGCTCGTTCACAGGCTCACACATCAGTTGTCAGCGAAACAGCGAAGCAGTCGGTTAATGCCACAGAAACAGCAACAGTAATAGCAACAGTAACAGCAACAGCAACAGCAACAGAAACAGCAACAGAATCTGTATCGGCTATCAATGAGGATCGAAGTGTGATAAATCCTAATCAGCCGGAGAACGACGCGAGTGAAAGTGTTGATAATAAAATCAAAGTGATCAACTATGCGCATCAGCAATTGAGCGAGGCAGAGGAGCAGCAATATCATCATCAGATATCGGTACCAGGAGCGGACAAGCCGGATCTGTACGCCTTGGCTGCCTCGCACCATCTCTTCGGTCACTTTCCCCACTATCCATCGAGTCATCCGCCCGCCCAGATCTACGAGCACTACGCCGCCAGCACGGATCCCATAATGCGGAACAATTTTGCGCTCTACAGCTTCTATGGTGGAGGTGGCGGTGGCGGAGGCGTTGGCGTTAGCGATCCCAGTCATGAGCACCTGCCCCAGCATGTGGTGGCAGCAGCCCAGGCAGCGGCAGCGGCTGCAGCAGCCGCCCAGAACTCCGCGCCCACCATCAACGAAGTGATCCAGGACACTCTCAAGGACGAGTGTTTCGACAATGGACACAACGGTAACTACCATGTACTCACCTCCGTCTCGGACCTGCACACACTCAAGGAGGCCAGTCCAGTGCCCGGTATCGCCTATGCGCTGACCCACGACCAATCCGCTCATGCGCTATCCTCGATGCAGAGCTTCACCCAACTGACCAGCGCCACCCACCGCGACAGCCTCTCGCCGGCGGAGCACGGCGGCTACTTCGGGGCGACGCAGCTGAGCCCCAGCTTGCAGAACAGGTGAGTCTTCCCGGCCAGCAATGAGCTCACTATCACGAAGCCGCCAGCGCACGTGCCTTTCGAGCGCTTCGCGACACCGCCAAAAGTCATGATCGGGAGCTCCGATCAGCGATCAGCGATCAGCGATCACCTAACACAGAGAACCGCCACCGGCTGATTCATGTTTCTCCCGCCTCGGATCGGTTTCTCTGGCGGAGTGACGAACCCAACCAACTAACCACCCTCTCGGGAGGGCCCATGAGGTGTTCTCATTGTTCCCGGGGACTTTGATCAGGCATAGATCCGAATCCAAGTCCGAAACCCAGTCAAAATATCCGCTCCGAACACATTCGGTTATGGTTATGGCATTATGACATTCTCAGGTGGTTTCCTCAATATGCGGAATGCAAAAATCTGTTCCACTTGCGACTTGTGTGAGCAGCTACTTAGTTAGTTAGTTGCGTCGGAGGAATGTGTTTCAAGCGTTCGGAATGAAAACATAAACAAAACACAGTTGGGTTCCCATCGCAGATGTCCCATGTGAACAATGAGTCCAGCCATGACGTCTCCGGGTTTAGTGGGGCAAAACAGATTAAGGATTATAGGAGAATTTGTTATTAATGCTTAGATCTCTCAAGAGTTTTGCCATTCATAATCTGGTCATCTTTGCAATCTTTTGCAATTTCTGTATCATTATGATATTGTATTTTGATTGAATATCAAACATAATCTTGTCCAAGTCTAGAGTAAACAATGCCAAAACATAAATACCATTTTTTGTAGCCTTTTCTGGGCTCGCACTTTGCAGTTTAGCGTCGTTTCCTCAAAGCTCTGGCCAAGAAATCATCTTCAAGCAAGCCCGAAACTCAGCGAAAAAATATACAAATTGCCGGTCGGTCATATTTCGTAAACAAGAATATGCAATGTCTTAATTATTGACGTAAGGGACGCATGGCTTTTCTGAGTCATGAGTTTTCCCGTACACCGATCTCTGTTCGAGCAGAACCAAGGGTTCCAAGTGTTCTCTCTGCTGCTTCCAACCAGCATTAGATGAGGCTCAGACTGTGGCCAACACGTGTCCAGGTTGATGCCACCTTTGACTAAGCATTAGCACACGTGCCACAAACTGAGGCAACAACCTACCGAAACTGCCCAAGAAAAAGGGGGCGTGACCCGCATTTGATCGTTTGGAGTCAAAACTCTGTAAGTTTTAAAATACAAACTGCAATTGTAGCGCATTTTTCTAGCTTGTTTTGGGTATTCGGTTGCAAGCTCTATTCGGTGTGGTTCGGTGTGAGGACACCTCTGTTCTGGGGGGTAATCCAAACCCATCCCGTGACATAGAAACCCCGAACGAAACTCAAACTCAGAAGCCGGGCAAAGCAGCTTCAAATGCCTCCACAGTTTGGATTTTTTGGGCTCCCTCAGGGTAGTTGAAGCTGACTCAGCAACCCCTGGTTTTAGAGGGTTTAGGGGGTTTATTTTTTTAGGGGCGGTCTGAAAAGGGGTAAATGGGGTAATTCTCTAGCGATCACTGGGAGGCAGCGGACCCAAAGCACCCGCACATTGTCGATTCTGTGATGTATTCGTTTTTATTTTCCACCTTTTGCTGTTTTGTTTGCCGTTCTTATGTTGTTATTTAAATTGAAAACGTGTTTTGCATATATGAAAACAGGCATGAATGCACATTGAGTTGAAATTTATGAAGTCAAGGGAGGAATTCAAGTGGGGGAAAACTACAGAAAGTAAGCTTAATTTATTGACTAATTGAGGTAAATTTAGGGGAAGTTTTCCTTGTATTTTGTTTACTTAAAACAGAATGTATAGTATATATTAAGAGAATTTTGAATTTTATGTGAGTTCTCCTCCTACAAGTAGATGTACTTTGAATTCAAAAGAGCAATTTTCTTCTTAAAATATAACAAATATGTTTCTGTTTAATTTCAAAAGTTAGCTCAATAATTTTCCCCTATTTCCCCGCTGGTTTTTCACCGGTTTCGTATAGACGGAAATATGCATATCTGGTGACAGAGCAAATGATCTCCGGATGGATGATGATGATGATGTTGTTGATGATGACGGCGATGTGCTCACCATTTCGTATGTGACTTTTTGGCCAGTTTCGCTTGGCGGCGGCAAGAAACCAGAAGAAGATATCACGGCTCACATGCCGAATGGCGCATATATATGAGTTATGTATGTGAAAAACAAGAAATACTCACCTGCAGCAAACAGCAGCAGCAGCAGCAACAACAATTTAAGTACAGCTCAGTGCAGAACCGAACTGAACAGAAACGGTGATAAAACTATATCGTTGTCATGCATTTTTTGTTGTCACTCAGACTTCCTATATATATGAGCACATATATTGGCCATAGCTGGGGCATCTGCGCTGTTATCGGGGAGCGTGAGCATCTGCTGGAAACTCTTTGGTCGCATTAATAATTCTGGCAACAAAAGAGTGGGAATTATTTGCAAGCCATTTGCCAGCTTGTTTGATAGTCGAGCGAGCGATAGGGTTTCCTTATTTTTTTGGCTTAGTTTACTCTGGCACATTATCGCCGAGATTTCGTTAGGGCCAACAACAGTCATCGCACAGTAAAGTAAAGCAGCAAGGCAGCAGAGCTGCCAGCAACTGCAACTGCAACTGCAACTGCATTGACATAAAACTAAACCCGACTCAAGTCATTATGCAAACGCGCGTGCCCCGATTCGGTTGTGGTTTCTTCTCCGTTCCGACTCCGGCTCCGTTTCCGTCTCCGTCTCCGAATCAGAATCAGACTCCGTCTCCGTCTCCCAGCCTCGTCGTCCAGAGAACTAAGCCAGAAGCAAAACTGAAAACTTAAAGCGGAAAACTTAAAAACTCGAAAATAAATCAATGCGAAAATGAAACTGCTGAATACGAGCTGAGCACTTCCGCGTCTCTTCAGAGTGGCTGTTGGATCATAAATATTATATTATATATAATTTTTGAAAAAAAAAAACACAAAACAAGGAAGAAAACAGGAGACTATTAATTGATGGATTATCAAGTGTTTTCAAGTGCAAAAATCAGAGACGTGTGACTAATGGCCTGACTTTAAAATAGCTACATCCGGTCTTTATTTATATGTAAAATTTATAGGAATAAAAAAATAATAAAAGTGAAGTGTTGTTAAATAAAGCGAAGAATATAAAAGAAACGTATACGTAACGTGGGACAAGTGGCATCACGATCAGGATCAGTTTTAAATATCTTAATTGTGTTCGATATCCTTGATCTTTGATTACAAGTATTAATAAGATCCCTTGAATAAAATTTAATCAAGAATCTCTTGGAATTCCTGGTCTATATCCTCTAAACTTTGTTTACTCGAAAGCGTTGCCGAGTTTTTTGCAAAAATATTTGCTCAGGCTTCTGTGACGAAAGACCAACAAACAAAAAGCAATACCAAAATAATACAGAGAAGAGTGAAACGAGAGCAACAAGCGTTACGTAAAATCTTTGTGTAAACAAAGCTGCAAACACTTTTATTTTTTTAATTAAGAGTTTTATGGCCACACCCTCCTCGCAGGCACAACTGCAAACATGCCAAAAACTGGACGCTGGTGGTCCGCCAGTCACAACAGCATCACCATCACCAACAACAACAACAACGACTCATTCTTGTAAAGTAAACAAAAACAAGGAATTGTTAATAGCGTCTCATATTCCTAACAGTGAGAGTGCAACGGTAACAGCGGCCACTTAACAGAAGCTGCTAACGAGAAACGCCCCCGAAACGCGAGCGTTTTAAAACGCCCCAAAAAAAAGTTTGCACTTTAAGAAAAGGGAAAATTAAGACGAATTAAAAATGTTTTTCTCCAACTACAATAACATGTATCTGAAGAATTATTGTTATAGGTAAAACAAGTAAAGATTGAAATAAGATATGAAACAATTTAAATACATATTAAGTGTATTTTATTGAAATTTTTGCGATAACTTTTAAAGGAATCCAAATTGGAAATATGTTTGAGTGATTACAGTTCAGTTTAATAATTATAAATATAATTTTATAAGCTCACTTATAATTCCTGAAAACAACATTTATTTTTATTTATTTTATTTATGGAAAGAACCCCTGATAAAGTCGGTTTGAATTTACTTAACTCTTAAAATACCACGGAAAGAAGTCTCCTTCAAAACTGTTTCTTTTGGTGAACCCTTCTCCCCTTCGATTGTACTTACCTTCAGTTTAAAGCTATGATTATTATAAAATTTATTATTTACATTTTTAAATAATATTTACAATTGCTTCTCCTCTATTTTAGCTCTGTGTATGCGGGTCCTTTGCTCACTCAGACGGCCAATGGCATTCAGTATGGAATGCAATCGCCGAACCACAACCATGCCCACCTGCAGCAGCAACATCATCACCACCAGCATCACCACAACTCCAGCAGCAGCAGTCCCGGGCCAGTGGGTCTGCTCCATTCGAGCTCTTCGGCGGCAGCGGCAGTGGCAGCAGCAACGGCGGCAGTCAATGGACACAATAGCTCCTTGGAGGATGGCTACGGATCGCCTAGGGGCAGTCACAGCGGGGGCGGAGGCAGTGGCAATGCCAGTGGAGGCACCTTACATGGCTTCCAACGTATTGTGACCGGCAGCAGTGGATACGGCAACAGCGTGGCCAATGGTTCAGTCAGTGGCGCCGATCGATACGCTCCACTGGCCAATTACCGCGGTCAGGTGAGTCTCTTCCCTGCAAAGGATTTCCCTTTTGGTAGGCACTAACTAACCTTGATTCTCTCCCACAGAACGAGGGCTGGTTTGATCCCATCAGTTACACGCAGGCAGCTGGACAGGCCCAGCTGGGCGTGGACCATCACAACTCCAGCAGCAGCAGTCCCGGGCCAGTGGGTCTACTCCATTCGGGTTCATCGGCGGCCAATGCAGCAGGCTCAACGGCGGCGGTCAATGGCCACAATAGCTCCTTGGAGGATGGCTACGGATCGCCAAGGAGCAGCCACAGCGGAGGCGGAGGTAGTGGTAACGGGAGTGGAGGTACCTTGCCCGGCTTCCAGCGCATCGTTCCTGGCAGCAGTGGATATGGGAGCAGCGTGGCCAATGGCTCAGTGAGTGGCGCCGATCGTTATGCTCCGCTGGCCAATTACCGCGGTCAGGTGAGGTCCTTACCCTGCAAGGGAATCCCCTTATTGTAGCGCCTAACTAACTAATCGCACATTCTATTGCAGAACGAGGGCTGGTTCGATTCCATCAGTTATACGCAGGCAGCTGGACAGGCCCAGCTGGGCGTGGGAGTTGGAGCCGGAGTGGTCACCAATGTGATACGGAATGGACGGGCCATCTCGGCGGCGAATGCAGCAGCCGCAGCGGCGGTGGACGGGAGCACGGGTCACGTCGATCCGGGCTCCTTCCTCTCCGCCTCGGCATCGCTTTCAGCAAGTAAGTGTTGACAGAGATTGGAGGAGATAAACTAAGGCTAGGATTACTTACTCTTACCACTCATTGAAATATGCACTCCGGGTCCTGGATCCTTTTCGCCTGCCTGGCTGCCTGCCACAGTGTCTTAGGTAGAATGTGAGCACGCACACAAGGCGCGAAGGAAACCCATCTCTTGGCCAGTAGTTATTTGAACAACCTAAGCAAATGCAGATGTTGTCCAAATAACTCCTAAACTATCACCTCATATCCTTCATTTCACTAGACTAGCCCTAAGCCTATATATATATATATATATATCTATTTAGTTTGTAAGCTTACGTCTCTATAATAAATTCAATTAATTTTATTTCTACTCTTGAGATAAAAGCAAACCAAAAACACCACAAAAAGCCAAACCACCCATAGAAATACAAAACTAAATATTAAACACACACAAAAAACAATACAAAACGCAACAGCAACAAAATACAAAACACATAGCAAAAATGTATGACTTATTCCAAATATTTCTATGTAAATCTTTGAAGCATTTCTCGATGCCGATTATTTCACTGAGGGGCGCGAATGTGTCAATTGTGGTGCGATTTCAACCCCTTTATGGCGACGCGATAACACGGGACACTATCTGTGCAATGCCTGCGGCTTGTATATGAAAATGAACGGCATGAATCGACCCCTAATTAAACAGCCTAGAAGATTGGTAAATCAAAAATCACAAAAAATAAAAACCAAACAAACTACCAACAATTGTTACTAACCAAAAAAAAAAAAAACCAATCAAATCGAAACGCTTTTGTGTGGAACAAAATTTCTGTGTGCGAACCTAAATAGTGTCTCTAGTCTCTTAGTGGGAGAAGCCTTATAGAAATCCGCATCCGCCAGAATCAGCCCGCCCTCCCTTAAAGACCCTCCCTTCCAGGGCCCCCGAGAGAGCTCCAAGAGAGAAACGAACAAAAATTAATTGAATTTATTATATTACGAAATGCCAATTAGTTTAATATGCGAAAAACCAATCAATCGAAACGAATCGAGAAATTGTAGACACCTCTGCTCCACCTTGTGTATTACAACCAAACCATCAACAAACCATTCTGATTGCTCAATTCCAGTGGCCGCTGAATCAGGCGGGGATTTCTATAAGAACTACTCATTTAATGTGGCCAGCGGTGGCCGTAGTAAGGCCACCACGAGCGCCGCCAGCTCGCAGGCCACCGGCTCCTGTCCAGTCTCGGGTGCGACCTCGGCAACGGCGGCTGCGGCTGCGGCATCGGGAACGGGAGCGGGACCGGGAACGACGGCAGCCACAACGCTCGACGAGCATGTTAGTCGCGCCAATTCGAGACGCTTGGTAGGTCGCTCATTAATTACCGATACCCGATACCGAAAACCAAAGTACCCAAGCCAAACAAAACCCAACCGAAACAACCCCACCGCAACCCCACCACCCAGAAGCCATCCCACTAACACACAGAGAAAGAGTAGAACGAGTAGAGTCACTAACCTAGTCCCCGAAATCGTTGCTAATCGCTGACTAACCTGTAAATACGTAAACCCCCATTTTTGGTGTTGCTATAGAAAAGTTGTTCCACACAAAAAGCTACTACGATCTGCTTAATTGTATAGAATTAAACTAATCCTTCGATCATGTCCCACCTCCAGAGCGCCACAAAGCGAGCCGGATTGTCCTGCTCCAACTGCCTCACCACCTACACATCGCTGTGGAGACGTAATCCCGCCGGGGAGCCTGTATGCAATGCCTGCGGTCTGTACTTTAAGCTCCACAGCGTCGCTAGACCTTTGACCATGAAGAAGGATACCATACAGGTGAGTTTGAAAGTCTAGCTAAGAGCCCTCATAACTCAAAGTTATAACAAAATAAAACTAACAATAAACTCATCTTGCCTTACAGAAACGCAAGCGCAAACCCAAGGGTACCAAGGGTGAAAAATCCAAGTCCAAGATGAAGAACGCTCTGAATGCCACGCTGGAGAGCGGCTCCTTGTCCGCCAATTGCCACAATGTTGGCCTGGGAATGGACAGCAGCCAGATGGATGTGAATGATGGTGAGTTTCCTTGTTGTTGACTTACCATTCCGTCTGCATGCCTAATACGTGATGTTTTGCTTTCTTTTTGTTCCCCGCTCACCTGCTCACCTGCTCACCTGGTCAGATATGAAACCACAGACAGAAATGAAACCATACATGCCCTACCAAATGTCACCCATCAATATGCAGCAGGATTCTTGCACGCCCGGCACGCCCACATCCATTTACAACACATCCTCGCCCACACATCATCTTCACAATAATAACAACAACAACAACAACAATAACACGATCTTCAACAACAACAACAATCATAGTAGCAATGAGAATAACAACAAACTTATACAGAAATATCTACAAGCTCAGCAGCTGTGCAGCGGGAACGGGAGCGGGAGCAGCGAGCATCAGCTGTTGGCGCACCTCATGCCGAACTCGATTACGGCGGCAGCAGCAGCAGCGGCAGCGGCGGCGGCGATCAACACAATCAAGACGGAGGCCTTGTCGCTCACCTCGCCGGCAGCGTCCTCCACAGCGCCGGGCATGGGCAATGGGAATCCCTATCATCAGTTGGGACTAGGACAGGGGGCGATGCCGCTGTGTAAGCAGGGACACGAATCACCGCCCTACTACCTGACGGCGGAGGACGACGAACAGCCTGATGAGCTGGAAGCCTTCCAGAGGCAACAGCAGCAGCATCACCAGCAACAGCAGCAGCAACAGCACCTCCAACAGCAGCAGATGGGACACCACGATCAGCATGTGGCCGCCACCAACTATGCCATGCACGCTGCACAGCAGCAGCTGCAGGAGATGGAGCGCAAGTTTGGCGTGGAGGGGGAAACGGTGGTCAAGATGGAGTAGGTCACGTTTGCCACGTGGAGCCTGCGAGGACTGCCCTGTACCAGGACCAAAGAAACTGCTGTTACATCATAAATCTCATAGCTCCAAAGAATTTATAGCCCTTAGTCTCGCGCGTATACCAAGGGAGTCGTTCTCCAAGAACCCTCCGTCGCCTAACCCAAAAAAACTATCGAATCATTATTTGTACATAGCGCTTAAGCAAGTTGATTGACATTTCCACATTTGGCGAAGCACGAATCGCCTACTACTCGAAATTTGTTATTTAAAAATTAGTTTAATTCTTAGCACAATGCTAGCTAGCTAGCAGCAAAAAGCGATTCGATCCCTAGATTAGTCCAAATTTGTTATCCAATCGAATACCCTTTGAGATTTCCACACTATCAAATTCCACCTAGACATTAGTTAAGCTAATAATAGTTAAGCCACCAAACAAACAAAGACAACAAAACACACAAAAATCCAAAAGCGAAAACAAAAACAATCGAAGTAACCAACAATCTCATGCAATTTAGTTAGTAATTTATCTATTTTTTATACACTTATTGATATAAATATTTAATGCAATTTAAGTTTTAGCCTCTTACATTCTCTTTTACACCATCTTTGCAATATTAATTTTATTTCTTTTGAACAAATAAACGACGATTGTCACATATTTCCCCAATCAGCTTTGATTTTTATAATTTTTAAAAATATTAAATAAAGCAAGTGAACCCACGAGGCGTATGTGGAATATTCTTCCGCTGCTGCGAAGTTTTAGTGTTGGTAAGCACTGCATGCGCTTGAGTGTATGACAGACTCCTGAAACTAGGCAACACCACTTGCAACGCTCTGCAGTTGCCCATATAAGTAGGCTTCACATTTCACATGAAGAAATGCATTCGTGTGGTTTTACATTTAATGAATTATTATTAAATGTATTTTATTTATAGAAATTGTTTAAAATTTTTAGTTAAAAGTGTAATTATATATACATATATTGGTATATAGTTAGCCTTTTTTGAGTGGTGCCACTAATTTCTATGCGTACATACATATATAAAAATAAAGTCGAGTCTCGAAGTGGATCGTTTTCGCTAGAGACCGCTAATGTTTGTTACATGTAAAAATATTAAAAATGTAAAAATTAAATCATTAAGGGCAACATTTGTTTTACTTCCGTACGTTATAAGCCCTAAATTAAAGGCATAAAGAACATCTTTATATCTTAATTAATCGTTTACTTTATTGAAATGACCAAACCCAATAAGCGGTTCTATTCCAGGTACCACATTAATACCCTTTCTCGTGGTTAAAAGTTTAGTTATATACCTTTGCAGAGAATTACAATTTCAGTCAAAAGCTTGTAACCCATTAAAGGAATCATTTCCGACCATGTCTTGTCGGAAGTAAAATTTCTAAATTTTGTCGAAATTGTTTAAATTTTATAAGGGGTTACATCATTAAAATTTGCAAAAATTGGAAAAAAGTTTAATAATTTTAAATTTTAAATTGAGTATGCAGATTTAAAAATCTAATAAAAACTAGCATAGGAAAGTTTGCCGAATTAAAATTAATGCATTTTTGACTTAGTTTTACGATTTTTAAACTAAGATTATTTCGAAAAATGGTCATATAAAAATCTGGATAAATACGAATATTTTAAGCTTAGTTAGGGTATATAATTTTCGGTAGCCCAAAGCTAGTTTACTTGCTAGTTCCAATATATTGAAAGTATTTAAATCATAATATGTTAAATGACTTCATATGGTCATATAAAAATCTGGATAAATACGAATATTTTAAGCTTAGTTAGGGTATATAATTTTCGGTAGCCCAAAGCTAGTGTACTTGCTGGTTCCAATATATTGAAAGTATTTAAATCATAATATGTTAAATGACTTCCTTTCAAAGTGTAGACCACAGAAAATAATGCATTTTGAAGCTACACACATTTCTATACAGTTTGCAAAAATATAAATGAAATGAAATAAAAAAAAATTCAAACCATTTTAGCTACTAAATGAGGACGCTTCAATGGATAGGTGAACCCCTGACAAAGGGTGAACCTAGTCCCCCATCCTAGAAATGTAATTACAGGCAGGAACAAAACAATATAGCGGTGTATGCTTAATTGTGCTTATATGTATGTATCTAAAAGTGTGTTGTGCGGTGTGTGAGGGGGGAAGTGTATGGGGGCTGTGTGTGTATTATATTATTTTGTGCGCCGCCATTTACGAAAGCGACATTTTCAGTGATAAGATAACGTCGCATTGCTGAGGCCCCTCCGCTCTGTCTCTGTCACTCCCTCGCCTGCTCTCCCTCTCCCTCTCCCTCTATTTATTTATTTTTTTTTTTGCTCTATTTCTTTTTTTTAATAAAGTTTCAGTACGTTGGTGTTTTTGTTGCTGCTCTTTTTTTATATGGAAGTCACGCGTTACAAAACGACAACAGGAACAAAATCTGAAAGTCACTTCATATGGCAAAACAGTTTTTGTTTATTGCTAGGGTTGTTCGTCCGTCGAGGGTGGGGATTCACAGGGTAGAAGGGAGGGTGGGGATTGGGGGTTCGGACTGGCTGGTTCGGGGAACCACGCCTGGCTACGTGACTGTACAAAAGTGCCGCATGTCGCTGGGACCGCTCGTGCACCGCTCAAGTGGTGGCGGTGTGCACCGCGGAGGAGGAGGTACTCCATTCCGTCCAGCGGTCTGATTGATACCTCGATCGATTAGCCTTCGTCCGCGTGAAAATGTCCATATGATAACCAATTCCAAATCGATTCACCATCTGCTCAGAGTCAGCTGTTCTCATTTAATAATTGAGTTTATTAACTTTCTGGCTAAGAGCATAATCTTGGCCTAATCAGTTGTGGCACAGATTTATTCTCTCCCTAGTGAGATTTGTTATTTTTAGGCGCCGGGTCAAGGTGCCACTATCAGGGAGAAAGAGAGTGAGAGTGAGATTGGACCAGATAAAGTAGTGATAGTGCCAAACACATAGCCTTGTCTTTTCATACATAAGATATCAAACTCTGATAAGATATGTGCAGCTTTTTAATGTATGATTTGTGTTTTAATCTCTTGAAAATATTCGTATATAAAAGAAAGGGTAAAATCGAAACTGAAGTTTGGAAAGTATTACTTTGATAACACCTCAATATCATTACTTCAGAATAGAATTTTTACTTCAACTTACAATAAAACCTAGTTCCTAAGGAGTCTATATAATACGTTCTAATGTATCTTGACTAATATATCTTCTACATCCTCCAGTTATAGCTGCACTATAGCTCTATATTAAGGTTGATATTTGCTTAGTTCTATTCTCTTGTAGATTCAAGAAACATTGAATCATTGTTTGGCAATCGTTAAGCCTGCAGCCGGAATTTGTTGACTTTAATTTCATGAGAGCTTAGACTTTAATGTTTACTTCTGGCAAACAAAGTCAACGATTCGTGCGCAAACTAGACTGGATAGATACAAAAGGGTATACGTGTTATATATACTATGTGCACTCACGAATAATTATAAAGATATCTTGAATATAGGAAAAATCTGCAAGCACCAAGAGAGATTCAGAAATACATTTTATCACGCTTCTGCCACATATGTACATAGGTTCTTATCGGTAGAGTTCTTGGAAAGCGAACATTGGCACTGAATACCAACCATCTGATGCATACAGAAATCGAATTTGTTCATTTCTCTGCCAATTCGTGGGGTTTCACTGATATCAAAAGGATATAGGCAGTAGCTCTGGCTTGTCATAATTGTAAGCTCTTTTCTGAATATATTATATATCCATAGTCCGCCTTTTTGCTTATATAAAGTACACACACTTTTGTAGTCCGTAATTTACGATGATTTCATGTTCAGCCTGACGCTCGCCATTTTATGGCTCCATTTTGTTTTTGCTTTTTTATTATTATTAGAAGCGTTTTGTTTTGTTTTTCCCCTCAGCTTGCTTTTATTTTCGCACTTTTCTGGTTCGTCACTTTACGATCTGGGTCCGCCTCCTCACCGTCCGTCAGGGTTATAATCCATAATTATTATTATTCTTGTGCCTCTTTTTGTAGAAATCCACCACCGACTTGGACTGGGAACGGAGCGCGTTTTAATGGAAAGTGCAAAACTTACTGTGCCAGCCACGAAATAACCACAGTCGGGTAAGATATCTGAGTATATATGATTTTTTTACATGCCCATTCCATAGATAGGCAATCTGTATCTGTGGCACGATAATGCTTATAAATAAGATAATATGATTTGATAATGGTATTTACCATATGCAGAAACCAAAGCAAGCCTCAGGTATCTGCCCGGGTTATGTAACATAAGTCGCTGTGAGTTTCTGCAAGGTAATTTTCTATAGTATATAAGAGTTTTTCTTGGGTTTCCCTCAGGGTTTTCCTTGTGTGGTGCACCTAATTAAATGTTTGACAGCTGGCCAGGGACTTATTTAGTGTGAAAATGCTACGATTTCAGACCGGGTAGGTATAGTACTACTCGGCATATATATACTGGATATAGTGTGGTCTGCATTCCGGGTCTGAGTTGTGCAAACAGATTGCATTTTTAGAGCATATATTCCCCGCCTCTCGACCCTGTTCTTTTCTGTTTGTTGTTGACTTGACTGCTTTTTGATGTCTTCTTCGGGTGGTTACGTTGCCGTTGCTGTAGCTCTGTTTTTTTTTGTTCGAGGCCTTATCGCCAACTGACGTTTGTACTTCAGAATGTGTACTTAAGATAATGAAATCGAGGCAGAAGCACAGGCAACAGTCGTGGGTACACGTTCACATCGAGACTCGAATGAAAATACTGGTAATAATGTCAGAGCTGAAGGCGGAAAATACAACCCTGCTAGGCGACCTCGATCGGCCATAGATCACTGGTTCTGGATAAGATCGATAGGAGCTTTGAAACTGCACCACAAAGCACCTCTATTTTGGCGACTTCTTTGAAATTCTTGGCCGAGTACTTTCCTGGTATCAGCAGCAGGCCGCACAGTTAATAAGCATATTCTAATCTAATCAGCGGATCGTTAATTAACTTCCAAAAGTTGACTTTCGCTTTCTCAAGTGTTACTTGAGCGCTGCTTTGGCAGCTGAAATTTATACGCACACAAAAGTGGTAGTATCTTATCGAAGAAGCCAAAGATCAACTTTTCCATTCCTCAAAAAACTGTCCATTTGGCTCTTACTTAAAGTGCTGATTTTGTTTTTTCCACACTTTACACATGGCTTTAAACTGGTATTCCATTCCATAGAAAACAATTCACTAAACACTTTGGGATTTTATGATATTTATGCACAGATATGCACAAATCCCTGAAATATATCCTTATTAACCCTAAATAAGCACTGTTTCTTGGATATTTTCTTGTTTCATCGAGAGGAACGCGCGGAGAGCCAGCCAATGTTTCCATGTTGAAAATCCCAGTTACACTCACCAACTGTGATTAGATTCCATGCCGCTGGGCGTCCAAACTTAAGGAATTACTGAAAAATTCAAATTATTATCGCTTATTATCTTGGGACATTATCAGTTCAAACACTGATATACTGATACAGACCGCGGGGAGAGCCCGGACCCGACCTGGAACTGGAACTGGGACTGGGACAGGGACTGGAGCTGGAGCTCTAACTGGCTGCAGATACCCCAAACTGATACCGATATCCTACCGGCAGCAACAACAATGCCAACGCCAGGAATTGATAGCAAATCTTCATTATCTTATAAATGGTCGCCTGCATTGGTGGTCGTGTATCGCTAAAAAGCCAAGATTAGATACTTTTATCTAGCTGGGTCAACCCCGGCCATGTTCCCCCCATCCCCCCAAGAAATCGGCGACGTCACAGATAGAGTTCTCTCCGTCCCCCCTCGAAGAGAATTATCGGTTAAGCAAATGCTCCAGCTCCCTTCTGCCGGCTCCTGCCCACCAGTTCCGGCTGGATGTTTGTCCACGCGGAGGAGGAGCAGCACCTGGGGGCTAAGTAGTTGCCACCGATTGACTTACGATTTGGGTTTGTTGGGGGGGCCTGGCCCGCCAGAGAGTTGGGGAGTCGAAATCTGCGGTAAGATACGTTAACTTATCTAAGGCCACTATCTATTCTCAGATATTCGATATGTTCGTAGTACACCTATGTACATATATATACGCCTGTATTATATGCGGAGCAACGATAGGAAAAATCACTTTGCTTGATAGGAGCAATCAGTGCGAGTGGTTTCCCTGCTTTCCCGGCTTTCCGGAGGAGCATTTCCTCGGTCAGAAGCGGAAAAGTCACATCGCGGCGAATCGGTCTTCGGTAGCACCTAAAGTTCAATCATAAATCTCTCAGGGCTAAAAACATCTCGTTCGACTCGGTTCAGTTCGGCTTTTGGAGGCTTCAATAGCCACAAAATGACGGCTCTCATAAGTAATAAATAATGTTTGCTTTTGGGGTCGCCAGAGTCGTTGCTTAACCAGCTACCAGCACCCACTCCCAGTGGCGATCCCAATCAACCCCAGTAGCCATGATTGTTAACGTTAATGGCGTCGGTTGTCGCCTCCCTGCCACGTCCCGCAACCCACCTCCCTCCCACGTCATGGTGGTTCGTGCAAAAGCCACAATGACAAGAGCCACCGCTCCGCACCGAGCTCCTCTTACGGATTATTTGTGGATTGCCATTGCCGGTTATAATAATGATGAGTCACATTGGCCTGGCCTCGCTGGCAAACAAAGGTGCGTATATTGAACACACTCACAAAGCTGAGGGGAGAAGAGAATAAACTGCCAATGGCAGAGGAGTATGCAAAGCCATCTCCCAGGGCACAGGAGGAACCTGTATGGGGTCTATTTTCGTACAGAAACATATGTTAATTCACCTTAATAGCATACTAAGTCAGAGCTAAGTAGATATAGGCAGAGCAGGAATTGTTGTACGTCTATAGGGAATGCCTTGGAGTCAAGATTGTTCTTTACTTTATCTATAGAAAAATTGGATATTATTATATATTATTTATTATATATATATATATTTATTACAGTACAGACAGAAACATTGATAGATTTGAATTAAATCTGGTCATAATATTAATTACACGTCTATAGGTATAAATATGTAGGTTAGTTATATTTCTCTTTTCGAAACTATATTGGTTTCAAGTATTTATACTATTATTAATACAGTTTTTAATATATCCTAATATGCTGCTTTACTTAAGAAACCAAATTTTAAAGGACGTCTTTCCTCATCTTTTGTATAATACCTTCTTTGTATCTATTCTGCTATCTCTTAAAATTGTCATTTAGTCATAACCCTATGATATAACCCTACAAATACCAGATGATCTAGAAATCTGGTTAATTTAAGAAACTTAAAACATACACAAGACTTATCTATACAATATATTTACTTGCTTTCATCGAGATTTAGGTTTTCCTTGACTTCCACAAAGAACTTGAAACAATAACTCTCCTTTCTTCTCTGATATCTGAACTTTCTCCTGAGTCACGCAAAAGATACATCACTGTCCGAGTGCACCCCGATTCATAAATATAAAATATATGGAATGAAGGTTCGTTAACCAAATGACAACTCTGCGAAGTGTAAACAAAGAAAGCTTTACATTGGGCTACTCCCGATCCTGCTCCTGCTCCTCCTGGCTTCTTGGTTTCCTTTCAATCTTCATAACTCATGTCCAAAATGTCGGTAGCATGCCTTGGGCCAGATGATTTATGACCCCGTCCAGACCCAGGCGGGTTAATAGAATTTACTTGAACCCAATTTGCTTGCCCAGAATGCCATCGAGGGGAAGAGCCATTACAGCTCCACCACTTTCATTTCCACTTCCATTACCATTTTATTTCATTGAGCCACGCCATTGCCTGGCCTGGCCGGGATTGGGCAACAAATCGGGGTGGGATCGGATACGTATTACGTATGTACATCACCATCGGTTCCACCCCTGCCGTCGGCTATAATTAAAACTATGGCGCACGCCTTTGTTGGCGCTCGGCGTTTAATTTCCAAAGAGTTCTTCCCCTTATCGGACCAGTTCGACCGCCAAAACAAAAGTGGATAGAACGTAGAAAGAAACAAAAATATAATATTACTATGACAGAAAATTGTACAATATATAAATTAAATTCCTTAGCGTCAGCGTTCCAGCCACTGATCGGCGATACTGTCAACTGGCCAAGAACACTTATATGTATGTATGGCCAGATAACTTTTGGGCTTTGACTTTGCTTGCTGGCTTGCTTGGCGCACACCACTTGAAACTGCGCGGATGTGGACAAGTTGAAGGGTGTGCGATTCCCCGCAAACGATACCAAGTGGAGCGGTATGGAGCGGTATGGAGTGGAGCGGTCAGCAATCTTAAGTCTCCGTCTCTGTCTGGTTTGCCGCCCCCTAAGTCCTGTGTCTTAGGGTCGTAAATTCGCCGGCAAAGCGCCCAAAAGCTAGGTGAGGCGGTGCCATCAATTAGGGTATTAATTGCCCCGGCTCTGCCAGGTTAAAGCCTCTGCAGTGAGTCAGTTCTGGTTTTCCAGAAGTCAAGTTTTACACATAGCTAAATAAATAATTATTAATTATATTACTGACACTTCATTCATTAACAACGAAACAGAGACTGAAAAAGGTTAAAGAACAACCTATAGACTTATATACTTGAGTAGGTTGCTTAAAAATACATCATAATACATTTTTTCATATTATGAGATATATATTTCAAAATATATATTTCTCCAGGTGCAGCTGCTTTTTTTTAGGTGTCTCTAAAGTCGATTCCTACTCTGGTATTAATCGCTTGTAATGTTGAATTCGTGTAGCGCCATTTGTAAGGCGACTTGGAGCTGTCTTGGCTTGGGGATCGAATGAGCGAATGATTCCGGGCCTAGCGGGGGCCTTGGTTTTGCATTGCTGTCAGCTTTTTGAGTGATTAATCACTGTGAAGATATTTTGCGACACGCAGCAGCAGCTACTACTTGCAACGGCAAGCTATTAGATACTTTTTTGTCTGCCGTCTTTGCTCTTAAGATTTGCCCATGATTTATGCGCCACATGAGTTGCAACAATTAAAATTATCGCACCAAGTAATTTCCATTCACGGGAGATGGAGGAGGAGGAGCTGCCCGTAATTGTGGCATTATAAGCAACTCTTTGGGGGGACGTCTCTTGCATGTTAATGGCCGTCATATATCTGCTTGCTTTATGACTTTAACTATAAACAATTTATGATTTGCTGGGCCGGAGCTGTGTTACCTTGGATGGGTGTCCCAGATATGTGGGTAATGCCCAGATTGTCGATTTTCCAAGGAGTGAAAGCTGGATAGATTAACTGTACAAGTAATTGATCATGGAAGAAAGATTTGAGAGAGTTTACCCACAAAGTATCTTTCAATCACTCGACTTGAAATCTCCAGCTTCGATCTGACTTTTGGGGGGTTTTGCAATATTTGTGCTCCCAGCACCTGATCCTCAGCCACGTGTGTTTGTCCCGATCGATTCGAGTATCAATGTATCTGTCGATTTCATTAGTTGCAACACTCGAGAGCCAAACGATTGTGCTGAAGTGGGAATGTGGAGCGGATTGGAGCGGCCCACATTCGAGAGCGTGCAGGAAGGGGTCATATAAGACCCCAGACGGCGACAGGTCCCCATGTGGAGACCCACTTTTCCGGACCCCCAGGCCCAGGCCCAATCCAAAAGGCATTTTGTTGACGTTGACTAACGCCTGGCCGTGTGTTTATTAGTTTGCCGGAAAAGTGTTTTATGGCCGCAATTAGAAAATGCGCTAGACTAAATTGCACAATTGACAAACAGGGTGGATGGGAATGGGAATGTGGTTGTAGATGGGGATGGGAATGGGCATGGGAATGGGGATGGGTTCTATGCCGGCTGGTTGGTGCCTCTTGACGCCACTCTTCGGAACATCAACTTCGTAACTCGGAGCCGAGCACGCAGGCGCAATTTGTAGCTCACGGATACTTATCTCTCGAACCTTATCTGCTCCGGCTGCGGTGTGCGGCGATAAGATAACCAATACCGCTCGAAGTAAATCATAATGCACGCATACGAATGCAGAGCGGCACCCACACAGGTGTGGGTCCGCCCAACCGCAGAGGTGCTATGTACGCGACGGTACCTCATCGGTGTGTGTGCGCCTAATTGGGCGGCAAAGGTGAACGCGCGGCGGGCACCGCAGTGCGTTGTCGTCGTTGCCGTTGCCGTCGTCGTCGTCGTCGTCGTTGTTGTCGTCGCCAGTCGTAGCCAGCGAGGAGGTGCTCAGCCAGCCCGGGCCCAGAACCCAATAGCACCCAGAACCCAGAAAAAAACAGTACCCCTAACTCAGAGCCCGGCCAGAGTTGGTCTCGAAAAAATAGCACTCGCTAAAGATTGCGCGCGGAATTCAACCGATTTGCTCCACGGATGATAAAATCAAGATTGCAGCATCCACAAAAATTTCCTCGCATTTTCGCGCCACTTTTTTTAGCCCCCCAACATTGATAAAGGCCAAAACACTGGACACCCCCAAAACACCACACACTGCAGTGCATGTGATAATTTTCTAAAAGAAAAAAGTGGAGTAAAGAAACACAAAACACACAAGTGATAAAGACGAAACTTAGATAAAACGCTGGCAGGAACAATCCCCGAAATAAAAATAATAGCGAATGCAATTTGATGGTCTGCAAAACTATATCAGCGGGTGTTACAATGCAGCTTAAGGTGGGTACTATACCAAATCATAAAAATTAAAGATAATTAAGTGATTGAAAGGTGATACTAGTGACTGGAAAAACTATAGAAAATATATACTTAATCAAAAGTGAAGTTATTCCAAAATTATTCTTTCATCTTATTTGCTAATATCTCTTCAAGTTGTTTTTAATACAAAAAAACTAATGTAAAACCTTCATTAATGAGGCGAGGAATCCAAAGTGGCTCATTTAAGAAAATTAAGCAACTAATCGTGAACTCTTTTAACACACATTTAAATACCTTTTTTGAGGCTCAATTTACGAGATCTCTATAAGCCTATCTATCATTTCAACTTTGTTAATAAGACAAGATCATAAAAAGTTTTTTTACGTTTTCTCACACAAGTTCATTAAGCTAAAGAGACAAGCCATATATATCTAGAGCCATAAAAACCAGACTCTTAAAGTTTATAGATCAGCCGCCAAGCTTAAATAAATAAATAATAATTTAAGTATTAATTCATGGATTATATAAAGGGTTTTCAAAAAGAGATGCCAGTAATGCAGATGCAAGCAAAGTCCTTTTTATGCAATAAATCTGGCCCGATTTAATTTAAATCTTGGCCCGTAAACGGCAGCTGGCCAGGAGACTTTTCAGTTATAGCGCCGGGGAACGGGGCTCGTCAACGAGATAAGACAAATTGATTTATAATGAATGACTCATCCTAACTGAGAACGCAACTGGGATGCAGCGGCAAAACTGCGACACTTACCTTTTTTTCTGGTTCTCTCTTAAAAGAAGAAAAACCGAACCGAAAAATAGAACCCATTAAGGCAACGAAACCCAAAACGAGGCAACAAAAAAGTGAGTTAAATGTGGAAAGATTGCTAATCTTTATGAGGCCAAAAATTCAGCTGCGATCCGTGGAGGAGGTGGCGTCAAAATACCTTTGACAAAACTAACGTATAAAAAAAGGAAAAATATAATGTGAAACACGCTAGTCGGCCAGTTGTTTCATTCATGAAAAAAAGGACAATTCCTTGTTGGGCCTTACCTAACGCCAGCACGGATAATGTGAAATTTATGTCAATCTTATCACCTCGCCTTGGTCCTGGTCCTGGCCCTGATCCTGATCCTGGCTCCGAGCCTATCCTTCGTGGTTGGGGGTGACTTTTGTGAATGAATGCAGCAGGGATGGCAGACTCTAGGCACATTTGGGGTTACTTTCCCAGCCGGAAGTGCCCAGTTGGCCAATGGCAGGCCAGTCCCTTAACAGACGCTCAATGGCGGCATCGATAGTCGCATTTCCAGTTGCAGATACTTTTATTAGACACGCGTCGCCAGTTGACAGTTGACGGGGCTGGCTGATAGCGATAGGAGATGGACTCTCGGGGCAAAGGTCACAATGCCTTGCAATTGATGGCCCTTTAATAGAGCTGTAAATGCAGCTGTCCATAGGGTTACCGCTTATCTTTTAGCTCTTTCATTAGCCAACTGCAATGGACTTTAATTAATCGAAGGGATCTGCCAGAGTTGGGTTGATAGAGATGGGCTATGTATGACTTTTTTTAAAAGGAAAAATCTACAAAAAGGGTATCTAACTTTCTTATATTTAATACAAAAAACATACAAATTTAAATGTAGAATTGAAACCCTAAGTATGTGCAAGGATAATGCGTATTTTTAGCTTATTTATGATCGATTTTCATTATCCAATTAAAAAGCTTAAGAGCATAGAAACATCAGTTTTCTAAAGTTATCTTCCATTCTTGTTTTTTTTTCAAATTATAACTATTAATTATAATTTAAGCTGAGCGGTTTCTGAATAAGGCTTTGCATATTTATAGTATTGAAACTAATTTGTAATTGTTATGAAATGCTTTTCCATTAATAGTCATTAAAAAAACTGATGAAATTCGATAACATTTCTAACTTGAAATGAGTTGGAATTCTGATTTTTAATATTTAATTATAAGATGAATAGATTAATATTTTAAAACTGTATAATAATAACCTTTAGTTAGCGGTAGTTTTGAAAGAAACTGGCCACTTTCAGTTGCTAATGAAAGTAATTTTAAATCAAATTATCGAAATTTGTATACGAAAATTTTTTGACAAATCAAATTCAAAAAAAAAAACTCTTAACTCAGTCAAAAACTCATTCATTTTAATTCGGAAACCGTTCGTATGTTAGTTGTTATTAGGTTAATAAATCTGCATACTCAATTTTTGACAATTTTAACGATGTAAACCCTTATAAAATTTTGAAATTTTGAAAAAATTTACTTTTCGACCGGACATTGCTAAATCGATTCGGCTGTTGATGTTGATTAATAATATATATGATTTATGGCGTCGGAAATGATTCCATCATTGTATTATACGCTTCTGATTAATACTAATACCCTGCAAAAAGGTATAAAAAGTGGCAATTTTTTCGAATTATTAAAGTTTTGCAAACCTCATAATTAAGCCAGAAATGCATTAATTCCAAATCGGAAAGCTATTTTGTATCAGTTTTAATAGCGCTAACAAATCTGCATACTGCGTTGTTAAATTTAAAACGCTCAATTGTTTGTTGATGCTGTTAAAAGATTCTGACTAAAATTATAATAACCTGCTGAAAGGTATAAAAACAGGCAATTTTTTAGGTAATCAGTGTTTTTCAAACATCATAGTTAAGCCAAAAATGAGTTAATTTCAATTCGGAAAGCCGTTCTGTGCTAATTTTTATAGCGCTAACAAATCTACATACTGCGTTTTTAAATTTAAAACGCTCAATTTTTGGTCGAATTTTGACAATTTTAATGATGTAACCCCTTATCGTTTTTTTGATATTTTAAAACAAAATGCAAAAATGTATTTTTCCACTAGACATGCTCGTTCTGATTTATTTATATGATTTATAGGGTCGAAAATGATTCCTTCTCAGCGTTACAAGCTTCTGACTAAAATTAAAATACCCTGTAACAGTATAGGTATAGTCTAATGACAGTTTATTAAAATAGAGTAACATTTTCAGCGTTGGGTCAGACCTGCCTTTAAGTTTTGCTCAACCACAAACCCAAGCTCAACGAAAGCAAAACGAGGTGTGATTACATATAGCCAATATCTTTTGTTTATATAGATAAAGTCAGGGCATATGTATGAATATATATACCTGTGAGGCTATAGCTGTGGGTGTGACTGGGCCGATTTCATTCATAAGTTGGGGCGGCACTCCCTCGCAACGGAGTCTTGACTAAGCCAAGCAAATAGCACAAGCCACTCGCCTCGGGAGGTGAGTGAGAGCTTGCCCAACTTATTGTAATTCTTGGATTTATCTGTGCCCATCGATGACGTAGGGAAACCATGACCTCTCAGACTCAGTTTCACTTTCGGTTTCAGTTCCAGCAGCAGCAGCAGCAGCAGCTGATTATGTACATTGATAGCGCCGGATAAGATATTGTCCGTATCGTTCGGCCGTAGTATCTTAACTTTTTGCGGTACACGGGCCCAACGGAGCATGGCACGTGCATACCATACCCTTACCTATCGTACTACTCTATATACACACTCAAAGTCGGGTTTATCTGCAGTTGGACGGCCGATTGTCAGAGTGACGTTTTGCACCACTTTATCTCGCACTCTTGCCATCCAGGGAATTCTCCGAACTTTGGCCAAAAGAAGCTATAGGCTAAGAGCTATAACTCGTAATAGGTTCTATGGACGTCATAACCTTACACGTAATATTCCCCTGAACCCAAACTTCTGTCTCATTTCCTCAATTGCCAGAATAACCAGACTTTGAACTGTACTTAGTAAACGGGTAATTTTTCACTTTTTACGACCTGTTAACTCATCCCCAAGTTCAATGAATCACGATTGGACTTTTTTAGCTTTGGTATCCATCCACACACTCAATATGTATCAATCATTTTGGGCAAGTCAGCAGAACTTTCCACGTAAAATTAATCAATTATAAATTAAAGGGAAGGTCAACAAAGAGGAGACTCTAAAGAATGATTTAATTAATTTACCAATTATCAGTTTACCAAAAACAAATCTAAATACATTACTTGATTCGGAAACCTCACATCTTTAACTTTAGAATGTATTAAGGTTTTGAGTAAGTGTGGGTTTTATTCTTTAGTTATTATTATCTGATTTAGTTTTGGTCTCAGAACAGATTCTTGAAGACTAAATTTAAATTTATAACACAGAAGTATGTAAATACAATACAAAATACAAACAATTATTATTAGTATTATTAATATTAATAACCTGTGGTTTTACAAGTATACCGAGAAAGAAAACATTGAACAAATAATATATCGCCCTATTCAACAACTACAAATTAATAATAATGTAAATATAAATAATAATAAACTTATTGAAGTGTTTACAGATTTTTGTTTAAATCATATATATTATAATCAAGAAGTAACGAGACATAGAAACATTACAAGTTAGGTTAATGGTAAATATTAATCTGTGAAAATGGATTTGCTTTATTATAATTTCTAACTTCATTTAAATTACCATTATCCTTAAGTTTGGATTTAAAAGTTCCGCAAATTATCTGCAAGTAACATTAGGTTGTAACTTTCAAAGAACTTAAAATCATAAAACAGCTGAAACATAAAGCTTAGAAATAGACTTCCTTTTCTTTATTTAAAAACCCAAAACTCTAACTCTCTGTCCCTCAATATTGCATTGGGTATTCCCGAATTTTTATATACTTAACGTAAACTCAAATATAGTTTATATTCATAGTTTTGGTGCAAACTCACCCGAAAGCCTTTGTTTTTTATGACTTATGTGAAGAGCAGGCTGTGGTGAATCAGGTGACAGTGACGATCGCAGGTGTTGACACAAGCTTTGGGTTGGCTGTGATGGAAGTGGAAGTGGAAGTGCTGGAGGAGGTGGAAGTGCCACCCCCAATGAAATGAGGTCATAAACCGAATGCGAGTGACGTGCGGCGGGGAAGGCAAAGCGATTTTATGGCCAACTTTTATTTCCGCCAAAAACCCAATACCAAATACTAAACAAGAGAAGAAACAAGAAAAAATAAAACCCCGAATAGGTACACAAAAAATGAAAACGAAACCGAGGAGACCGGGCCGCGGCGTTGCGTTTAGGGTTCTGTGGGCAAACATTTCTTCTTCTGGTGGAAATGAAGTGAAATAAAAGTGAAAAATGTGTTCGACAATGTTGACACTGAGCGGGAGAGGCGTTCGTCTCCGTTTCTGGTACTTTATGGTTGTAGGCGACAAATTGAGCTGTGACTCGAGAGCGGGCGGCGGTTCCGTTTGAAGTCCAGGTCGTGCTCAGAGTCGTCTTGGCCTGGGCTTGGGCCCGAACCGCCGCATGTTGACTTTTGTGGCGGAAATCGGGGCGGCCAGTTCGCACTGTGTGGCCGGAACTGGAGCCACACTTTTCAGCCATGTCGAGCGGGGCATTCAACACTTGTCACTTGCTCGTTGCAGATGGAAGCGCAGACAACGCAGCAGCAGCAGCAGCAGCAACAACAATTGCAACAGCAGCAGCAACACCAACAGCAACAGAGCCTGACCAAGCAGCAGCTCCAGTTGCTGGACAAGATCAAGCTAGAGGCCAGCAACGGAACGGAGCAGCTCTCCCAGCAGGCAGCCAGCGCCCTGGAGGATCAGCAGGAGCAGCAGCAGCAGCAGCAGCAGCAGCAAACTCCCACATCGGTGGGTGTGGGCGTTGTGGTCCAGACCAGCCAGGCGGGCGTTAGTGAGCCGGAGGAGCAGTACGTGGTGGTGCCGCGGATCCAGAGACGCATCCTTACCACAGCGGGCACACTGTAAGTTATTATTTGTTTTTACTTCTAAAGAGGTTTTGAGCTGAGTCCGTAGCTGAAGCATCTTTATAATTGCATATTTGTTGTTACTCCCATTTCCTTAGTGAACTGAACGAGGCGCGGGAGGGAGAACCGAGTACCAACGCTAGCAACGCCAGCTCGGGATCTGCGCCCGACAGCCACATCGAGTTCCAGCGCAGTTCACACCACTCGCCCGGGGCCACCCACTACGTCCAGATGGCGCCCCGAAATGCCGAGGTGCCAGAGCAGGTCACAACGGCCTCTGGAGCACCTGCGGGCACACTTTACGCTTATTCCACCGGTTCGATCATCTGCAGTGGAGACGATGTGACGGCCATTAAAATCGAGACGATTGAAAAGGGTGAAGTGACGGGCGAGTCGCAACACCAACAACAGCAGCAGCAACTCCAACAGCAGCAGCAGCAACAGCAGCAACACCAGCAACAACAGCAGCAGCAGCAGCAGTGTCCCACGCCCAACGGTGGCAACTATGGCGACACCTTGGTGATCAACAGCGAAGCGGAGGCACTGCAGCATCATCACCACCAGCAACATCAGCCGCACCAGTCACACCAGCACCAAGCGGCCGCCGTTCACATAGCCAGCAGTTCGCATGGCGGCGCTGTGCGCTTTGTCACGGAGGATGGACGCTTTGGCACCGCCGGACCAGAGACCTCCACCTCGAGTTTATACTACGAAGCACCTGTGGTGGAGGGCAGTGTCCATGCCAACGAGTCCAAGACATACGCGGACCTGGGTAATGCCTACGCCCCCTTCCCGCCCAGCTCTAGCTTTAGCAGCAATAGCTATGCGGCCGCCCTGCAGCAGACCAATACCATTTACACCGTGCCAGGAACTGGACAGTTCCTGACCAAATCCGAGGGCGGACTTAACCCACTGCGCCAGGCCGGACCGACCACCTTCCAGACGATCTCCTTTCCCGACGGCGGCAATCCCATCGAGATGTGGACGTCACCAGCACCGCCGGAATATCAGAACGTGTCCTTCGTAAGTATACATTTTAGATTATTCCAGCTTTGGCCATAAACATACTTCCATTTTATACAGGGTAACTTCCACCCACAGGTGATCGACGAGTATGCGTCCGGCAATATGCCCACCACCCACTGGTCACCCGCTGGCGGGATCGGTCAGTACGATGCCAGTTTGGTGACCGCCTCGGCAACATCGTCGCCGAACCACGAGCTCAAGTGCGAGAACTGCCACTCGCCGTATGTACGCAAGGGCACCTCCGAGTACTTCTGCCCCACCTGTCCGCCCTTTATGAGGATGCCGCCGAGGATGCCGCAACGGCAGGCAAAGCCCAAGGCCGCTGCCGCCCCCAACAACCGACGCAATGGGGTAACCTGCGCCAATTGTCAGACCAATTCGACGACGCTCTGGCGTCGCAACAACGAGGGCAACCCCGTGTGCAATGCCTGCGGGCTGTACTTCAAGCTGCACAACATGAACCGGCCGCTCTCGATGAAGAAGGAGGGAATCCAGAAGCGGAAGCGAAAGCCAAAGAACAACGGAGGAGCGCCTATGCACCGGGCCCCGTTGCCAAGTAAGTGTCCCCATAAAGAGTGGTTAGCGTTGATTTCCCACAGTAAACCCCAAGTAAACCATAGACTAATCCCAACTTCTGGCCTATTCCAATTTCCTTTGACCGCAGGCATGGCGCAGGGTGTGAGTCTGATGACCAACAGTACGCTCTATCCGTCACAGGTGCCGGTGAGCATGTTAGGTGGTGGCCAGCAGAATGCCAGTCCGGAGCTGCATGACATGTCGACAACGGGACCAGCGGGTGGACCCCGAGTGGTGACCATTCCGCTGAACTCTGCGGCACCGCCCACCTCGGAGGGATCCCTAAACATGTCCGCTCGCCACCATGTGACCGGTGAAAGCCATTCGCCGTACAGCCAGCAGTCGACGCCACAGAGCCAGTCGCCCCATCTACCCAGCACGGTGACCATTAATCGCCAGATAGTCCAGCCGTAAGTCTCAAGGAACACCCCACTATTCCAGACTAATCTCTAATCCTTCTTGTGATCCACAGAGTAACCAGCATCGAGAGCGGACGCAGTTCCAACAGCGAGCTGACCCCCAGCGTAATCACGCGCACTGGACTGCCGGAGCGATCTTCGAATAACTAAGCTAATCTACTTAATTAATTTAACGTAAACCTAACCAAAACTTCAAGATTGCCAAAATATTTATTTAAGCCCTAGCCCTAGAACGTAGCGATATAAAGACCAATGTCCCAGTTAAAAGGAGGAGGTGATGTGGCCATGGGGAAGACTTGAAAAGATTCCTGGTTTCCTGAGCCCCAGCCTCCTGCTTAGTTAGTCAGCAAGTTAGATGGAAATGATTTGTGCCAACCACTTAGGATCACATCGGATCGGATGGGATCGAGTACTGTTGGATGTAGCTTAGCGAGCCCATAAAGAAGCCTACGACTTTGTATGTTTAAGACGCTCTTTTTATTCTACAAAATAAATAAGTTGTAAACGCAAGAGTCAGGAAGGGGACTTTGATGGCTCTACCAGGACGCGAAAGCCATTGTCCGTCCGATCTGGTTATATTTCATTGTCAACAATTTGGCAGCACAGCCAAATTGATCCAAATTAATTTTAATGACCCCCAGGGACCACAGAGTGAGACCGTAAAACCCCAACAAGTCTGGACCGAGGGATCGAAGAGATCGGAGATGCCAGTTGCGAGACCCTGGTGGAGCAGTGTCTAAATAGCGATTTGGTGTCATCGCTTAAAAGCCTGTCGACGCACAACGCCGCCGCCGAGTAACGCCACCGCCAGCAGCCGCTGCCTTTGATCTGCTTTCGATGGTATGGCAAAAATGCTCTGGCTCTGGCTCTGACTTCGTCTTGGACTCTGCCACCCGAAGATGGAGTCCCAAATCCAGTTCTCCTCGAAGCCCGAATCCCCATACAACCCTCCCCCGCCCCACCAAAAGGAGGCACAATATTAACGCCTTGTCCAGGGGTCTTCGCTCGGGGACTCGCCACTCTTTGTCCGAGCCTTCTTTTTGTTTTTGGCGTACGCTCGATCAATTAGGCAAACTTGTTTTACGACCGCTTTTATTAGCGTCCGCTCTGGCCGGCGCTCCAAGTTAACCGAAACGCAGGCCGAGACCAAGAACGAGACGGAGGAGTCCCAGAGCTCCGTTGGCCAGCGACCGGGTGTACTGGGTGCGAATGAGTAATGAGACGGCGGTCCCAGCACCCGGCAGCTATGGAATGTGTTGCTAAAAATTATGTGCGCAGCGTCAAGTTGTGCAAGTGGAATGGAATGGAAGAATCCATGGCATCGAATAGATTGGTCTAAAAATGGATCTAGCCAGATCTGGTAGAGTACTATTTTTGGGCATTTCTAGTAAATGGATTCAAGAACTTTTGAGGCAGAGTTCCGTGTGAAAAGTAGAGCTCATTATATAGACAGTTTTTGTTAAATTAAAGCAAAAAAATCCCAAGGAAAACAAGTCTTTAATTTGTTGTTTATTTAAAGAATTGTATAATTAGTTCAGATATTTATATATTTTTCCGATATAACATTTTAGCAAATAAAACCAAGCACTTTTAGAACTTTGCAGAGTGAAGGAGTCATTTCCGACCCCATAAATCATATATATTCTTGATTAGCATCAATAGCCAAATCGATCTAGCTGTGTCTGGTCAAAATGTAAATTTTTGAGAATTTTTCAAAATTTCAAAATTTTATAAGGGGTTGCATCATTAAAATTGTCGAAAATTGGCAAAAATTTTAATATTTTTAAATTTATATTTGAGTATGCAGATTTTATAACCAGGTAAAAACTAACATAGGAACGCTCTCCGAATTGAAATTAATGCTTTTTTGGCTTAGTTATGAGTTTTTATTTATCTTTGATTGGTTCAAAAAATTTGCCTATAAAAATATTTTAAATAATGTGAATATCTTAAGTTTATGATCAAATTGCAATGCGATCCAAAACATGTTATAGCAAAGTGCAAGGGTGCATAAAATTCAATTTAGCAGTCATTTTTCTTTCTTGTTTCATTTTGTAACTCTACATTTTTAATATTTATTATTTAGATCATTGTTAAAAGCTAACCCCTTGTTTATAACAATCACTCTGGAAAGAAGTGCTACCGGAATACGCTTGCTAATTAGCCTCGTCGGGGCCATAAAGTATATCGGAATCGCAATTGCATTTATGCTTTAATAACTTGCTGTCCATAATAAGCGTACCACTAATTGCCGCCGCACCTGTGGCCAGGCGGCACATCCTCGGGCGGCGTCATCGGATTGAAACATTAGCGAACGGACCAGGCCAGTGCAGGCCAACCTGTTCCATTTTCCCAATTGCAGGCGAGGCAGGGGAGACCGTAAAATAATAATTCAATGTGACAGGCAACAAGATACGACACCGGGCGCCATTTTTCAGATGCCACTCCCCGCCATGACACCGCTCCGCCGAGCTTCCCATCCACCTGACACACTGGCAACAACGCTTCTCGGACATTATCGCTGGAATTATGACAGACTGGGAACGCGGGAATCCGCTAATCTCCGGAGCCTTGCATGCATTTGAATTTCTATTAAGTTAATTGCAATTGGCCAAGGCGAACGCGCATTTGCTCATGTCCAATAACAGTTAAGCCGCCGCGAATAACGATTGTTTCCAGATATGATCCGGATGGGTTTTTCCAAAGCCCGGGTCATTCTATCTTGGCATAAAAGCCAACATAAAGTTGAAACTGTCAACTCTCAACTCCCCCATTCCTTCGGGGCATTTAATTAGCCAGCGTTGACCACCTAGCACGGCGGCCTCTTGAACCCGGCTCGAACTCGGACTCGGACTCGGACTCAAACTCGATCCCAATTCCGAGGCGCCACTTAGCCAACTTCAAAGGGACAGCCGCAGTCAGGGCTTGGTTGGTGGCTTAGTGGCTGGATCGGTGGTGGTGGATTGCGGGCATCTTCTCCGCTGGGCTGCAAGCTACCATCATCGCCAGCGTCATCTTCATGGCTGGCATTACAAATCGACAAACGACACGAAAATGCGCTTTAACAACGCGCAGTTAAAATAGATAAAAGCCGATAGTCAGACGCCGCCGCAAGTCAGCCAAAGCAGACCCATGCGATGGGTTTTCCAGAGAGAGCAAGGAGCCCCTCCCGAGATCGGTTGTATCATTTTTTGTTTTTGGCCAAAAGCTTGACCGATCTAATACAGGCAGATTAAAATAAAAAATGGTTTCTATTAGTTACCTATATATTTAAGCTTTCCAGACATTCCTCTTGCTATATTTTATTAATTAAAGCCGAAGCTAAAGTTGATTAGATTTCAGATATATGAGTAAAGTTTTATTATCTATCAAAGAGTGAGTGAGATCTATTAGTCTTACATTAGCTTTGAATGATTTTAAAATTGGGAACTGTGGTGATAGTATTTGACTATATAAATCAAAAATTAATCTAAGATATAAAGAAAACAGTTTTAAAAGAACTATGAGAAAAGTAACTTAATAATAGAAATAATTTTAGTAAGTACCTGAGCGTAATATAATTTATTAAATGTATTTATATAGAAACCTCCCTTTACTTAAAACCAGAATTATATAGGTTCTAAAGCCCTCTTAGTCACTATCTCTGTAAAACACTTACCAGGTTCTTTCCCCTTAACTCCATTGAAATTGTTATTAATATTATTATTATTAACCACTCCCCACTCATTACTTCGGGTTATAGCTACAAGTTCCTTGTTCAATCCTCCAACCAAAGCCATCATCTTATACAAAAGACACACCCAGAGATCCAGTGACGTCACAAGAGTTGCAGGCCAGAGCAATCGAGTGACTTTGAATTCTAGGAAAATATATCGAAATTCCAAGAATTCACACGAAAGACAAAATGCGATTGCCTTGGATGAGGCCGAGAATCGGGAATGGAGAGGATATGGGTTAAGGTATTCCCTTGCCTCTACGCCCTTATCACAACTCACGCGCGTCTCGTTCCATTTCGGGTTTCGGTTCTCGGACTCTCGGACCCGAAATCACATTATCTTCTACCTTTTGCCTTCTCCGTTCACCATTCCTCCGTTCCGAGATGGCGACGCAGCTAATGGATATGCCGCATCCCAATCCACATCCACATCCACACAGGCACAGGTCGCTATATGGTATAACATATCACAGATGACGATGATGATGATGATGATGGGCCGCTCTCTTGTCGCTTTCCGCAGACGCCGCCGCTGGAGGAAGATTGAAGATGCGGCGCTTATCGAGGAGGAAGGCAGAGACCGAAAAGATGAGGCCCGAAAAGAGTTCAGGATAGGAGTCGCAGTCTCAGTCCCATCTCCTCCGCATATTTCTGTGCCTTTGCTTATCGGCCGAGGCTGCAGACTTACCCATTCCCCGCCGCCGTCGTCGGTGCATTTGCATCACGGAATGCAACCTGGCCAAAATGAGGTGGAGCGGGGGGCAAGAGGAAAGGGCGCTCCAGCCTTGAGTCCAGAACTGTGGCGCCAAAGGAAGCGTTGAAAATGGTACTTGATCTTGATCGCGATGACTCCTCTCTCTCCCTGTCTCTCTGTTTCCTCGGGGGAGCTAAGGTGACTGTAATTTAGACGGCGCCTCGATCCTTGTTTCACACTAATGCACTTGCAGCTTTTAAATGTCACCAGGGGCACTCCCTCAGCCGGATCGGAGACCGGCCCTCCAGCTAGGCCACTTTGCGATCATGTAATCCCCTCGGTTTGGCCTTCACTCAGAGGCAGTTGCTCGTGTGTATTCAATTGGAATAATTAGTGATATCAGTTTGGATTTCTTCAAGCTTCAGTGCAATTTCAGCAATGGCAGAGAAATTAATACCAATTTCTGGTGGTTATGTAAGCTAATGCGTAATATAAGTCAAAGTAATTTACAAGCATAGTAGATAAAATTAATAAATTAAATAAATATATATATTATAGAATTCCAATTATATTATTAATATGGTAATGATAGTTATGTACATCAATATTTGTATAAATAATGTAAATAAATATTTAAAGAGTCCTAGAGTTTTCAGTTAAATCATGTTTACCTTTCTATTCCTTAATCTTATATGATAAGTAAACAAATTATAATTTTCAAATACAATGTAAGCACATCCAACAAAGCAAAGCCCCCATTTATAGCTTTTCTAATTAACTTACCATTACTTTATGGTCATCATGTTAAGATCAGTCACCAGGACGACACTATATTAAGACCATAAGTGATAAATTTTATGATCATCACGAATACTTAACAACTTTGTTGGCAGGCGCCACCTTAGCCATACAAAAAAGCGCAAAGGGCCCAGATATTGGCCATAACAATTACAATGTATGGCTTCCACTTATGGACAGGATCGCTCATATCGGAACCGAGGCCAAATCTATGACTGGCATCCTGCTCAATTAAGAGCCTGCTAAAATCTCGCA